GTTGTATCTCAAGGGCCACACTAAATGGATTTCTTGGGTTTTCCTGGGTTACTGGCCCTCCGGGTTAATCCAGTATAAAATCTTCGTCTCTCAAGAAGTCCAGTTTATGGTTATAACTATGACCATAATTTTAAAGGGGGAGGGGGGTTGGAGGGGTAAGGCAGCGGAAGGCCTCGGTCAGATTGCCAAAAGCTCCAGCTGTGGGTTATTATCTGACCAAGACCCGCGACAGGAAACACTTGTCTCCTGACGAATCTTACTTAACCTAAGAAGTGCAGCTGCAGCTCAATTCCCTTTTAGAGACCGAGGGGCTATACTTAATCTCTTCTAGGAAGTCCAGGAGATGGAGATTACCATAATCGGCAAACCCAGGAGGTGGATTATTATTATTATTATTATAATCATAGGGGATGGCTAAACCCGTAGGGATTATATAGCGCCTGCGGAGAAGGTATTCAGGGAACTGAAGCACAGATCCGATTCCCTAGATCAAGAGCCCCTCACTAGCGTCAAGAAACCTCCCCTGAGGGGCCCAGCAGCTGGAACTCAGTCAAATAATATAAAATATTTATACCGCAATCTTCAAACAATGACAAGGCAAGACATGGTGCTGCTGTGTGACGTGTCACTGAATATTCATGAACACAGACCTTGAAGCACATTACATGTATAAAAACTCTTGTACATAATAAAATTCGTAAAAAAAAGAAAATATATTTGTTCAAAATATTGTGGAAGAGAAAAACTTACTACATACCAGCGAGCCAAACTATTTTATATCAAATTTCAACATGCCTATCACATTCACGTAACTATAGACTCGCTTTAGAGAATGAGAGGTCTCTACGTTTAATCTAAAGATCTGGTGCAATTTCTGGGATCAAGAGCCCCTCACCAGCATCAAGGAACTCTCCCTTGAGGGGGATTTCAATACATCATGAGAAGGTAAGTGTACATCAAATTCAGTTTTCTTCTCAGTCTTCTTCGATTTTGGTCAATATACAGTTCAGCTGCTCGGTAGAGTTAGGTGATAAGTTATAGTTTGCAGTATACAAAATTAAATAAGTTTTTCCACAGAAAAAAAAAAATTTGCGGAAATATTTTTTTTTTGGGGGGGGGGAGGGGGAGGGGGTTCATGTTACGCTAAATTATGTTAGGCTGGATTCTAACCTAACCCAACCTAACTGCGCCTATTCCAGCCTAGCCTGACCAAACCTAAACTTTACTGATGCAAGAATTACCACGCTGGTACAGATTCTACAGTGGTATTCACATTACTGATACAGGAATTAATTATTACCTGGAGTTTACCTGGAGAGAGTTCCGGGGGTCAACGCCCCCGCGGCCCGGTCTGTGACCAGGCCTCCTGGTGGATCAGAGCCTGATCAACCAGGCTGTTGCTGCTGTGCTGTGCTGTTGAAAACATTCCTTCACCCAAGACACAAATTACATCGTAAAACGTCAACTCATATAAATTACACTCGGTAAAAACATCACTGCAGCTTACTTTGTTAAATAAGTACATCATAACGCACTGCAGCACACACGGTGTGGAAAATTTTGATAATTTCCCCGGGATTTATGTGTAAGTGTGTGTCTTTTGTGACTTTTAAAAGATGTTCTGTAACATGACCCCTCAAGGAAGGTTCCTTGATGTTGGTGAGGGGCTCTTGATTTAAGGAATTTCATCTGTGCTCCAGTGTTCTAAATTAATGCTGAATGCTTCCACATCCGCGCCAGAGCCGAATAATCACGGGTATAGCGATCCCCTTGATTGTATTATAATATAATCTGTAACATGACAACTACCATTCTCTAATATTTCCGTATATTCTGTGAAGAGTTGAATAAGTGAAAATTATTGTAATTTAGAGGAAATTAATATTTCAATAATGAAACTGTAACACACACCTGGAAGTGTTATTAAATTAATTAAAAAGATGTATTGGTAAACAAACGCAGGAGAAGAGCAACGAAAATGGCAGAATGTATGTAATACCTTGGATTATTATTATTATAATCAAAAAGAAGCGCTAAGCCACAAGGGCTATACAGCTGTAATACCTTGGAAATGCTGCAGAATATAATCGTGGGTAATCGAAGCCGATGAAAAGTGTATCGGCAGTAATTGGGGACCATGCAATGAGTGAATATAACAAGTATCTGGAAGGGTTCTGATACATTACAATCTCGTCATAATGAGGCTGATAATGATAATACTGGTCGCGGTCCTCTCAGGGAAGGTTCCTTGACGCTGGTGAGGGGCTCTTGATCTGGGGAACTTGGTTTGTGTTCCAGTTCCCCAAATTGAGTCTGAATACCTTCCATCCCCCATAGGCACTGTATAATCCCTACGGGTTTAGCGCTTCTCATGATTAGTAAAAAAAAAAAAAAGTACTGGTCGCGGTGATTGGACAACAGGTTGACCATCGCGTGTACCTACAGTAATTTAATTTTGCCTCCTTATATATGGTATCAACCCACCAAATAGGTGAGGTATCTAGCATTGGCCAGTATTTATCATCCCTGCCTGCTAGGGAGGCGTTAGGATACATCACCAAGATAATAACAGTAATTCTAATGTTCTGAATTTATGTACACTTAATTTTATGTAATTGGCTCTGTGCTCCAGTTCCCCGAATTAAGCCTAAATGCCTTCCACATCTTTCCCCCAGGCGCTGAATAATCCTCCGGGTTTAACGCTTCCCCTTGATTATAATAATAATATGTAATATGAAAATGGTGTGTATAATCAATCTAAACGGTAGACCAACAAATTACTTGAGGTTGTCCAGTCCAAAGTAGTTTTTCATTAATATATACAGTCCACAAACAAATTTAATACAGCCAGTGTTACTGGCTGGAAATTTCTTGTAATAAATTCAAAAACTGTATGTTCGCCTAATTTAAGGTCCAGATGTATAAGTTTGGGAGGTGAGAAGGTGGGCATGGAAGGAGGGACATTATTGCGACCTACAAATACAAATTTTTATTTCCTTGCAAGTTCACATTGCGTTTATGTAATTACAATAATGAGTTGCAGTACAGAGCCACTATCATGCCATGGCATTATGGGCAGACTAAATTTAATGGCTTACAGACTACTTAATACTAGAGAAAATTATCATTGTTTGAATTATACATCTGGGGATATTACATTGGGACAAGTTGAAAGTATTTTCTAGGTTGTGTATATCAATAGTAAATATTTAAATTATATTATGGGATATATAACATTGAGCGCTGTTGAAAGTAGTTTAGTGTGAGAATGCTACAATTTGGTGTAAGACAGTATTGTTTTGGGCAGATATACTATAATGTAGTATTAAGTAATGTATGAGCTTTGGGTACCTAATTTTGAAGTGTTGCTAAAGTCCCACCTGTCTCAGGTGCAACTAGTATCAGTAAGTGTAATCTGTTTTACATGTACCACAGTTCTCCCCAGTTATGTGTGTTAAATGTTAATTCAGGATTGTACCTGTGAAATCACCCACATAATTTCTCATACATTTTCACTTGTCTCATGCATAATAACCTGATATTGTACTCTACCAGGATTGTTAGCCAAAAAAAAAAAAAAAAACGACCTTCATGTAAATTACATTGCCAATAAGTCATATGTATTACCATGCAACCTTTAGAAGTGAAACAGCAACAGTTCTGAATTCAGTCCCCTCAGGGAAGGTTCCTTGATGCTGGTGAGGGGCTCTTGATTTAGGGGATTGGATCTGTGCTCCAGTTACCTGAATACCTTCCACATCCCCCCCCACAGGTGCTGCATAATCCTACGGGTTTAGCGCCCCCCATTGATTCTAATAATAATAATCTGAATTCACCTTAATGAATACATTTTTTTGAGTTCTTTACGTGAAGCAATGTTGACTTTAATTAGTGATGTGACCATTTGTGTGCTGTGGTTTGAAAAAACTTTTCCAGTCATTAGGAGAAAAGAAACTGAGAGAATAAATAAGTAAGAACTATGTGAAAGTCTGTAATACGAGAGCAGATTTCAGCAGCAGAAAATAAGGTACAAAATACAATTATAACAGCCAATTCTTTTTTCCTGACATATCAACTTTTAATCATAAATGAAAGAATAAATTGTATGACCAATAAAAATGTGTGATAATCACAATATAATACTGGAGTACTAATATATTTTTCAGTTTCATTTATTTATACATTTCTTGAGCCAATGGTATTTTTTTTTAAACAAAGTGACTTGCTTTGGAATTCTGAATATTACATAAATCAGTGAAAACAAGTACGAATCCAGGTGTTATATCTGAATGTTTTGGTACACATAGCAGAACCTGTATTAATCTGGATCCAAAACAAACAAGACCTTTACGTATGCTAAAATATTACAATATATTTGTATTTGATATATAAGATACTGTACAAAATTACCTGCAGTATGTTTTAAATCTAAGTTCGACAACCATAAATATTCCAGGTAACACAGGTCTTCAGTAACAGTGTACTTAATTAATTAAATATGTATTGCTTATTTCTGAGCCACAATACAAAGCTTTTGCTATCGTTTTCTATTTAAACAGATGTTTTATAAGCTTTTGCTATCGTTTTGTACTTAAACAGGTGTTTTATAAGCTTTTGGTACCGTTTTCTATTTAAACAGGTTGAACATTAAAATGGTATAAAATACCGACAGTTGTTGTAGAACATATGCACAGTTAGTTTTTATTTCGAAACGTTTCGCCTACACAGTAGGCTTCTTCAGTCGAGTACAGAAAAGTTGATAGAAGCAAAAGAGACTTGAAGACGATGTAATCAGTCCATCACCCTTAAAGTTTTGAGGTGGTCAGTCCCTCAGTCTGGAGAAGAGCATTGTTTCATATTGTTTCAGACTATGGAACAATGCTCTTCTCCAGACTGAGGGACTGACCACCTCAAAACTTTAAGGGTGATGGACTGATTACATCGTCTTCAAGTCTCTTCTGCTTCTATCAACTTTTCTGTACTTCGACTGAAGAAGCCTACTGTGTAGGCGAAACGTTTCGAAATAAAGATACCTAACTATTGCATATGTGTCTTACCTAACAACATTTAAACAGGTGTTTTATAAGCTTTTGCTATCGTTTTCTATTTAAACAGATGTTTTATAAGCTTTTGCTATCGTTTTCTATTTAAACAGGTGTTTTATAAGCTTTTGCTATCGTTTTCTATTTAAACAGGCGTTTTATAAGTTGAAAAACGAAGAACGTTGATTATTTGTAAACTGAAGTTCACTGAAAACTCGCACTGCAGAGGAACTTTTTGACTAGACATTACTTCAGGAGGGAGTGAAACGTCGTCATAAAGTTCTGGGTGCGAGTTTTTGGTGACCTGTTCCAGCCACGGTATTGTGACTTTGTATTCTTCTTAGTGGCTCTCTATACCGAACATTATTATATACAAGGTACAAACAGGTCATTATACCTTATTATTCCTTCTGGGCAACAGTAAACTTCATTGTAATAAGGTCTCCCAGGCCCGCAGATATAACATCCCCAGGATGTACCGGGCCAACACCTGCAGGTGTACCTGTCAAAACCAAATCTCCTGGATGTAGAGTGAAATACTGAGAGATGTATGAAATGAGGTAGGGTATATTGAAAACCATATCTGCTGTGCTGCCATTCTGTCGCATCTCTTCGTTTACCTGGAAAAAAAAAAGATTCACTTTTGGAAAATCTGGTGATGAAATTATGGTTCTTGGATGGACATCTTGTTCGTTATGGGCATTCATTGTACTTTCTGCATCTACATGCACCACATATAGTTTGATAATAATAATAAATGATTTATTTGGATTATTCTATTCTATCCATTGAACGTACAGGGATTTAAAAATGGGAGGTAATCAGGTTAGTCACGGAAAGGGCAAATCCATGGGATGAAAATATACATTAAGGATTTAAAAGCATTATTCAGTAAATAAATACTGTTTTACAGTACCATACTTCTTCCATCCTCTCTCTTACCTTGCACCAAAGCTTCACCCCACTCGGATCACTCAGTTCCTTGGCAGAAATAAATCTAGACACTGGAAGTGCCGTGTCAAAGCATTTAGCCATCGTCCATGGACCCCCTGACTTCTTGGCCTCCTCCTGGAAATCGCGTGCAGTCATGTCCAGCGCAAGAGCATATCCAGCAACGCGTGGCATGACATCGTCCTCGTGCACGTCCCCACACACTGAACCAATCACTACTCCCAATTCTACTTCGTGGTGACAGCTCCTACATCCTCGCGGTATCTGTTGGCAAATGGAATTTTATGTTGGAGGTAGTAGTTGCAGTTGTTTTTTTGATCTATTAATTGAGATCTGTTATCAAATAACTACACTACCTGAATACTGAATGTTCTCACTGAGCTAGCTACATAAAAAATAAAAAGAAAAGAGTTATCACATTCCATTATTAATTAGAAAACCCCTGCAATCCCTCTTAGTTTGGGTTACGTGGGATTCTCATTCAGAAAACAGTTGCTGAGACTCGACAATGTTAGCTCAGATATACATGTATGTACGTGAATAGCATTGTGTGAACTAATATACGAAGGTACGTGATAAAAGTCTAGAAAATATTTTGAATGAGCAGCACCTGCGCCACTTGATTATAGATGCAGAGTAAATATATAACTTGGACAATTGTTTCTTCTATGTCATACTTATTTTAGTTTTCTTAAAATAAGTCTCACCACTATAGGACCAGAGCCCTCTTCTAGGTATGATGACGGTGGTTTCATAAACAATAAAGGCTTTGTTGGAACAGCATGTCCTAGCTCTGCACAGTGATCTCTGAAAATGTAATATTATCTTGAATTAGTATTGCCTTCATGGGGAAGCACTGAACTTATTGGGATCGTAGAGCACCTGGGGAATGAAAGGTACTAAACAGGTGGCTAGTTGAACTCCCCCTGAAACAATACTGCTCGTGAGCATTTTATAGGAGTGGAGGCAAGTGTTTTTTTTTTTTTTATCACTGGATGTGCTGTTGGAGTGCGAGCAAGGTAACTTTTATAAAGGGATTCAAGGATACTGGTTAACCGGATCTGGGTCCTGGTGGTGGGAAATACAGTACCTGCGGATGGGTGAGGATTTTCCAGTTCTGGAGGTGGGAAGTACAGTGCCTGCACTCTGAATTATTGGCGGGGATGTCATAGTTCAGAGGGTCATCTGAACTGTGATGTCAGCACGCTTCTTACAAGACTGATTGAATGAATGACGGTCAAAGCGTTTCCTCATTTTTTTACGGTAACTTAGCCTCACTAGGAGTCACAAAACACATTCACCACCATTCATTAAATCGCCGTCTTTCCAGAATTATACTAATATCACAATTCAGATTATCCTCCGAGTGCAACATCTCCACTCTTCTTCCAGAGTGCAGACGGTGTCCTTCCCACCTCCAGGTCAAGTCCGGCTAACCGGTTTCCAGGAATACCTTCATATCAGTTACCTTTCTCACATAAACAGCAAGTGATTGCAAATATATTATTATTATAATAAAAAAAGAAGCGCTAAGCCACAAGGGCTATACAGCTGCAAATATATAAAAATACCAATGAACTGGAGCACAGGCTCAATTACTTGGATCAAGAGCCCCTCTCCAGCATCTATCTCTTTTCGTTGAGGGGTATATATGAGACAACAGTAAACCCACAGGGCTCGTACTTATGACCATTATAAGCCGACTGTATATATTTTTCTGAAGAAATATTCCGCTCACTGAAGGTTCCTATATGTTGGTAAGGGGCTCTTGATCAAAGGAATTGGACCGATGCTCCAATTCCTTGAATCAAGCGTAAATGCCTGCCATTCCCCCCCTTCACGCACTGTATGATCCATACGGGCTTAGCGCTCCTCCCGTGAATGTAATATATTTGCAGGGAAGCAATAAACCCGTAGGGGGGTCATACAGAACCTGGTGAATTCGACTTGATTAATCAAGTCTGAAGCAAGGAAAGTTAGCCCCAATCCCTTGGATTAAGAGCCCTTTCCCCCCCTAGAAGGTACTTAGTTTTACTGTATTAGCCATGGATACTAACCTGTAGTTCCTGCCCACTGCAACAACATTTCTTCCCCAGTGGACAAACTTGTTGAAATTTTGCCCTGCTTGGCGCGACATAATGCTTTTTTTTTAGTTAACCACTTCTAACCGCCAAAAAAAAATAATAGCTAAGCCCAAAAGCCGGGTAGAGACAGCCGTACAAAGCCCAAAGCCGTGAAATAAGCTGATGTAGAGCAGTGCAAGCAAGGGTGTACACCAGATAAGGTAAGAAGGGAAGCTTTCTGTGACGTAAATAAAGCTTATTTGGCAGTGATGGTGAAGCAGAGACAAGGATGTAGACAACACCGAAGTCGACGGAAGTGGAGAGACGTCGATACAGTACCAAGGTCGACACACAAGTCAAGAAAGGTGTAGACACAGCAGTAAGGTAGACAGAACTGCACAGTCAGTGTGAGGCTGAGCTAAACTTGTTATTGTTGGAGTTAAGGGGTGAGAGTACGGACCAAGGACCTATATTTATATACATCCCCTTAATTAAGGGAAGTTCCTTGATGCTGGCGAGGGGCTCTTGATCTGGGGAATTGGACCTGTGCTCTGGTTCCCTGCATTAAGTCTGAATACCTTCCATCCCCCCCACATACGCTGTATAATCCTACGGTTTTAGAGCTTCCCATGATTATAATATATTTATACATAAAGTATGTGTATTATACATGTATAATAATAAAAATGTATATATCAAGAGGGCAGGTTACTTATACTTGACTTATTCTCCACATCCATGTACATGTATGTCAGTCAAATGTGGAAACAACACATATGCAGCTTAATGTGATCCTTTATTGAAAACGTTTCACCCACACAGTGGGCTTTTTCAAGTCACAAACAGACCTACCTGGGGTGGAAGGTACGGGAGCATTTATAGTCAGTCATCAGATGCAGCATTCTCCACCTGACCTCAACATTCTGAGCCTGACTATAAATGCTCCCGTACCTTCCACCCCAAGTAGATCTGTTTGACTTGAAAAAAAGCGCACTGTGTGGGTGAAACGTTGTCAATAAAGGATCACATTAAACTGCATATGTGTTTATGTTTCCATATTGTCGGTATTTTATACCATTTATTGTCATCGTCAGTCAAATATACAGAATGTATTGCAGGCAGCAATGGAAATAAGTCACTGACTTTTTTGGATTATCCTGGGTTCTCTACACATTTAATATATTTATTTACTACAAGTACATGATACAACTTATACAGAACATAGCTGACATCAATGACATACTACTATATAAAAAGTCCCTTGTTATGCTGAGCATTTCCCGTAAATTACGTCAGTTTTGTCCCAGGATGCGACCCACACCAGTCCACTAACACCCAGGTACTTATTTTACTGATGGTGAACTTGGGCAACCGGTGTAGGAAACACGTCCATTGTTTCCATCTCTTCGCCGGGAATCGAACCCGGACCCTCACTGTCGGGCAGCCAGACGTGCCGTAAAAGGTAACTAAAATGCCAGGAGCAAGTAATTAGTATTATTATTATAATCAAGGGGGGGAAGCGCTAAACCCGGAGGATTATACAGCGCCTGGGGGGGGGATGTGGAAGGCATTCAGGCTTAATTCGGGGAACTGGAGCACAGATCCAATTCCCTAAATCAAGAGCCCCTCACCAACATCAAGGAACCTTCCTTGAGGGGCAAGTAATTAGTAACTTCTAAATATAAAATGGAGATTTTAAAATCTGAATGTGCATGGATGTACCATAGATAAAATTTCATTGTAAATAATGTGAATGAATATTAAGCTGGATGTCTCAGCTAAGTGAAACAAAGCTCAAAGGGGTAGATTTCCAATGGAAAGAAATAAATGGGATTAGGTCAAGTGTATCAGAGGGAGCGCTAAGCCCGTATGGATTATACAGCACTTTTGGGGGGGGATGGAAGGTAGGCATTCAGGGAACTGGAGCAAAGATCCAATTCCCTAGATCAAGAACCCCTCATCAGCATCAGGGAATCTCCCTTGAGGGGATATAAATGTACAAGTTCAATGATGATGTGGATTAAAATAAGGGTCAGATACAAAAACTGGGTTATATTAAGTGTTTATGCACCCAAGAAAGAATAAAGGAGAGAGACTTTGGGAGATGTTAGGGTGTCTGAGGAGTTTTAAACAATGTGAGTAATTTTGGTCAGGGCCCTAAATGCTATTGGGAGAAAGTGTTGTAGATGGCATTAATTGGCAAGTCTGGGGTGTCAAGGGTAAATTCTATTATTATTATTATAAAAAAGAAGCACTAAACCACAAGGGCTATAAAGCACTGCAGGGCAGGAAGGAAGCGAGGGTATTAGGTGGCAAAAGGGAGGTGGACGAGTAATAGGTTACGGAGAACAGCGGGGCAGTGGATGGTCAAAGGGTAGAGGACAGCAAGAGATTTGAGGCAGAAAGGGCTGAGGGAAGTGTGAAAGGTATCATGATCAGAGTTTGTGGAGTAAATCAGTGGTTGTCAAGAAGTCAATGAAAGAGTCGGGATTAAAGGAGGGTCCATCAGCAAGAAGGGAAGGTAGAGAGTAGTAGAGCGGAGACGACATTGGAGGTAAATTCTGCGTGCTCGTTGATGGAGAGCGGGCAGTCTAACAATGTGGCTAATCGATACTGGAACTTGACACTGCTCACAGAGGAACAGGGTGCCTCTCCATGAGTATTATAATCAAGGGGGAAGCGCTAAACCCGGAGGATTATACAGCGCCTGGGGGGGGGGATGTGGAAGGCATTCAGGCTTAATTCGGGGAACTGGAGCACAGATCCCATTCCCTAAATCAATGAGAGACCCATGAGTAAGACGAGTGTGGCCAATGCGAAGGTGGGAGTAGTCTCCCAACCTTGGCACTGATGACAAGACGGCTAGTAACCTATGCTTGGTTTAATAATGAAGTTTGTTACAGAGTAAAGTTGACCAACGTTGTTGCCAATGGGTGTGAAGGTGGGTAGCTATTACAGCAAAATAGTCTGGAAATGGAACACCTCTATATGAAATTGGTAGGTCATGTACTGCTGACCGCGCGAGTGTGCCTGTTCATTGCCCTGTACATCAACATGACCAGGGACCCAACAAAAAACAATATCTTTATGCTTGGTAGAGATACGGAGTAGCCAAAGTTGGATACGGAGAAGTAGGGGGTGAGGTGTATCAAATTTCCATATAGCCTATAGAGCACTAAGGGAGTCTGAGACAACCACAAATGATGACAGGCATAGATGCGATACGAATAAGTGCTGCAAGAATGGCATACAATTCAACGGTAAAAATGCTAGCCGAAGATAGTAAATGCCCTCGCACGACGCTGTCCGGAAACACTGCTGCGAATCCAACGCCGTGAAAGAGTGGAAGTGGTCAAGAAAAAGAGCGGGAAGCCACCGTAGGCAGTTGGCTTTCGAGCAAGGGAGGGAGAAAGAACAGACCCGAACAGCTGGAACTTCCCAGGGGGATAGGGAAAAGTGAGATGCTACATGAACATATAAAGGTGGTAACTGAAGGGAAGACAAGAGCGAATGTAGGCGAAGAGATCAATCATAATAACTAGGCACTAAATTCATAAGGGTCTTACAGTGCTGCAGGGTAGGGTGTGCTGAAGGTGTAATGCGTTTGATAGTCCTGGTCATTGACTGGGCTGCAGGGGCACTGACCCCTTGACAGTATTAAAGCATATATGCAGTAAAGGAAGGATCTTGTTAATCAATGTGCATTGCAAATCATCCCTCCCCTTGATTAAAACCTAATCACCTAGCAGCCAGGTAACTACAGTAATTTAAGATCAAACAACCTGTAATGATAGCTTGTTAGATGCAGTCAAGGTACATACTTAACATACAGGCCTGTGCTTTCAAAGTAAAACCAAATCAGGTGAACAAATTGGATCATAAATTTATTATCCCTCCATGGTCAACAATTCTTAAATGTATAGAAGCAAAAAGTAATGTGCTACTGCCAGGTGTTGTCTTATAGACCATGCTTAAGCTCGTGTTACGCAGTGTCATGGCAAAATGTGTGTGTGGTATTTCCTGTAACCAAACTGACAAGGTAGACCAGATTGGTTAAAAATACCACTTAAGTTGACAATTGTACATGCTCCAGCAATTTGCAAACAAGAATCTTTTTTATGGTGGTTCAATGAAAGTGACTTGCTGTTGCTCAATATTTTTTATGCTAAAAAACAAGAGGCTAATAAAAAAAGTTAACAGCTTTATTTTATTAAAGCATTACAAGGAAAAACATCTACTCGTCATCACCACTGCCATCCTCAGCCTTGCTACCACCCTTGCGCATGTTCTTCCTCTTGACACGACCATATCTGCCACCACCAAATGGACTCTTGAGTGAGAAATCAATGTGTTTCTGAGAATCTAGGCGCACAATGAAGGATGGCACATTGACAACTTGCTTGCGAACCCTGAAAAACAGCAATGCACACAATAGTAAAGCAGTATATGGTAGGCTTATGTATGCCTTAATAGGAACAATTTACAACTAGGCCTCAATTGTCATCAGTCACATTCAAGTTCATATTGTGTTAATTATAATACATAAAATAAAAATTTATTAAATGGGTATGAAATATTACATTTAAGTATGAGTTGGCCAACAGTGGAAGCAAATTTCATAGAAGGGCTCTGGATGATATGACTACTCAAATCACATCAATCGGTTGAAAACTAAAAAGGTAGGACAAACAGTCAGAGCTTCCCTTACTTTTAATTACACCTATTAAAAGAATACAACTGGTTAAAATAGTAAATACAAGCATTCAAATAAAGCTTAACCCACACCTTAGGAAGTCAACCCTCTACCAACATCCTTGTGGCTCATGAGTACCTTCCAGCTTGTGTCCCAGTTTCCCCTTTTGCCTCAAACAGCCTGTCTCTATCTACCTGTCAAGTTGCATACTTCTGCACATTCACCAGCTGACCCTTTACAGTGTAGCACTTACCACAAATGAAATGTTAAAGCTTATGTGTCCTACACTTTTTTTGGGGGCGGGGGGGGGGAAAGGACTACCCACCCATTAAAGTTAAGCTGGGTAATTAAAAAATAAATCCAATGCAGTAAAACATTGTAATGAAAATTACTATATGGACTGTTGAGACAAGAATAAGTAACTTATTCATTATTCTTGCCTCACTAGAACATCAAAACTTCTAGTGGTGCAAATGGAAAGAGCAAATTCAGCCAATGAAAAAACTGTGGCACAACTGGTAATTAAATCTGACACGAACCAGCTCACCAAATCTGAAGGAATGCACTTCCCAAGACATGTGGTTCCAGGAACATTCCAATCACAACTAAGTCTTCTCATTGTAAGGTGTTGCCAGGATATACCTGGTCAAGTGACCTTTGGAATTTTTTTAAAGACATTGCTAGGATATACCTAGTCAAGTGGTCTTTACAGCTAATTCACAGCATTTCTTCAAATCAACCTGTTAAATGGAGATATGGTATGCCGACTTGTTTTTAAACTTAAAAAATAAATATAAATACAGACTTGAACAATAAGTTTATACCCTATGAATTTATAGATACATTATATATATAAAAAAAAACTTATTACACACTAAACAGAGAACTTTCAGTTTATATAAAAAAATTAGCATAGTCCCAATAACACTAATCCACAAATGTCTACAATGCATAACTGAACGATGAAGGCCAATTAACAAATGCAGTAGACCTAATTTTGCATTTACCTGATATGCCCTTGTTTGATGAGTACACGAGCATGATGAATTGACTTGGCCAAACCCAACTTGAAAACTTGGGTTTGCAGACGACGTTCAAGGAAATCTTCAGGTTTTAAACCCAAAACGTAATCAAGTTTCATACGACCTTCTTCCAGAACACCTGTCCGTACCAGACGACGCAACAGAGCATTGCCTGTAAAGAAAAATCTGAATAACAATCTTTTACAAGATGCATGTGTGGTAACAAGCCTTCGGTAACATCAGATGTAATCTTTATTTCCTCAAAACACTAGGACAAGAGGTGTCAATAAAGTTTTTTTTCATCAAGAGTAATTTTTTTTAATTTAACTGAATCCTATAGGCAAACTGTTTTGCATAAATCATAAATAATTTGAGCCACTAGGCAAAGACCAGATGGGATAAGATAGTCAATTCATTGACAGGCAGTGTTATTTTTTGTCTAACAGTTATACGTATACAGAGTTTAAGTAACCTAATGCTTCCAGAATTCACTGTCAGAATTTACTTAAATTTCCACACGTAGCGTACTTACCCTGGAAAAGACGTCTAGCATCCTTCTCGTCTAGGGTAAGCAACACACGGGCAGCCTTACGAATCTTAGCCAGGAACATCTTGACAATCCATAACTCCCTCTTATTGCGAAGACCATACTCTCCAACAAGCTAGAAAGGCAAATTTTTATTAAGAAGAGTCGTCAATATAATTTTATTAATATTTGTCATTAAGTACTTGGGGAAATAGGAGAATTGAATTTAATCCATTTAAGGAAGAAAATAGGTCAAATTTCTTTAGCAGGAATACAATTATTTCAGATTTTCAATAATTCTTTTATAAAATATTGCATATATGGCATCAGAGTATCTTCTCTCTCAGAGATTAGGTATTGTACCATACTTCCTTCTAAAATGATCTTGACTGGATTATGCAGAGCATTTCAGACGAATTAGGTTTATTTTACCCCAGGATGTTCCCTGGTGTGGACGTGACCAGCACCAGTCAGTTAACATCCAGGTACCTATATACTGCTAAGTGAATAGGGATAACAGGCACCTTAGAGGGTTGGTCATGTACGAGTACGTCATTGCAGCCAGGGTCAGTCATGTACGCCTAAATTCTAGCGCCTTCAAAGCTGGCAGGCCTACATATGAAAGAATGGGTCAGTGTGCACAGTATAAAAAAAAATCCTGAAGCACGCTGTGCACGAGAAAAAAAAAAAAAAACTACTTTCTAGTGTTATTGTGTATGGTATTTATGGTTGTATTCTCGTTTCCTTGGTTTCATTTAATAGAATGGGAGATATATTATAGAATTAAGAGATGATTTTGATCGGTTTCACGAAGACAAGTACCTTGAAATTGAGTTCAAAGTAGCGGAAATGATCGATTTTGGTCAATGTTCAAGAGTAAACAAATCAAGCCACATGTCCAATACATGTCAACTGGCGAGTCTTAATATTCTTTCACAAGTGTCCCGATATAATTTATACCATTTTTACAACGATGTAGTAGTATACATAACAGAAAACCTTTCTATTTTCCGAGAATAAAAATTCAAAATGGAAAACAAAAGTAATACTAGAGGGGCCTAGAGACGTGACTAATGAACAGATAAAATGTTATTTTAGTGCCATGAATGTCTGTCTTGCTCATTCTGGACCCTATTTCGAAATTGACATCTTTTGAAATTTGTGTGAACTTGCCCAAATTGCCAATTTCTGACCACTTTATTGGGTAGTTGAAATTGGTAAATGGGTGGATTCTTGTACTCAATCCATAGAACAAATGGAGTTCTAGGGAAATAGCTATGATTTTAGTCAACTGCAACATTGGAATTTGCCGAAAATAGGGCTCAACGTGGGCGAAATCGCCCACATTGAGACCGCTAACTTTGCGAGAGCATAATTCCGTAAGTTTTCCATCAATTTTCAAACTTTTGGTGTCATTATGATCGGAAAAAGATACTCTTATCATTTCATAAGAAAAAATAATTTTTCTTCGTCAATTTTTTGACTCTGAGAACGAGTTTGGGAGAGGACCTCTTGACCCTCAAAGGGTTAAGGAAACACGCCCAAATGTTTCCACTTGTACCGGGGATTGAACCACTGAACTCTTTGTTGAGCCAAGTGGCCACAGGCTCCAGTCAAATGTGCAAAGCTTTAAAGCAAACATTTGGTAACTAAGCTTTATTTTATTTACCTTGAGCTCCTGGTCGAGTCTTGGCTTCTCAAAAGGCCTCCTAGGGGTGGAGAACCGCTTGCTTTGCACCAATGGGACTCTATGATTCACCATCTAAAAGATGAAAATGAGGTTAGTAGTCAAGGGAAGTAAGTTGCTACTATCCTGGTGAATCAATAAGTTGAGAGCACCACAACTTTTTTCTGTATTGTTTTACTGCCAGTTCAAGGTGTTGGAGGAGATTCTACCTCTCAGAAGAAAATACTGAAAATTAACTTGGATAAATGAACATGAGGTAGTTAGGGGTTAGTGAAGGCAGACAGGTTAGCAGTAAGAAGCAGGTTGGCAGCAATAAAATGTGGGACCTGGTTTCCAGTAAAAGAAGAAACTTTAAACACTAAGGTTAAAGTGGATTTGAAATCCGGATATCTTGAGATGAAAGTGCCGTTAACTCTTGCCAATAAAGTTGTGTGATTGGTGACTTGCAGGTTAAATATACAGACCATGGTAATGAATGATAATACATATGGAATTCAGTAAGGTTTGAGTTCCACACTAAAGATTCATTTGTAGTCTCATTCGCGACCTAGGTGCCAGGGAGTGTGGACGTGCCTCATACCTCTCTGCTGACAGTCTAGCAAGCTATCCAGTGATGTCATGGTATTCAGCGTGAGGAGGCGGGTGAATACCGTTGGTATACAGCTTGTTCGGGGGGGCAATTACGCCTGAGAATGAACAAGTTTTGCTACCTAAGATTATCAGTGACACTTATGGCATTGCGGACAAGAATTTGTATGGTGTGGCATTAAATGGCACCTACCGGATATTTGTGAAACTACTCTACGAGCCAGTGTACGAGAAGCTGGTTGAGCAATTCCAAGATCTCTGCGAAGATGTGTCCCCTGAAGTGCATGTGCGTATGGTGGATGTCTCTCGACAATATATGTGGGTGAAACTGCAATGTGCCCTTCAAGGCCGATGCAACAGATCTCCGCAGTGTTTTCAGAAGATACGGAGTGGTACACATGGCTAAACAAGGCAATAGAGTGGCTTGGGCATATGCTGGTCTCCCAGACGGTTCGTTTACCCTTAAGATGTCTCTACGCCAGGCCATACCATCGCATGTGTACCTTGATGACTTCCGCACACAGGTCATGGTGTCGTATGCTGGTCAACGACGGATGTCCCGCCTCTGCAGTGACTGATCATATGGCAGCAGAGTGTGGGCAGCGAGGGCAGGCCAGAAGGCCGGCTGGTGGATCAACGAATGACGATGGGCAGAAGGCTCCCATACATGGACGAAAAGGAGATGGTGGGCACGGTCGGCTTTGGAGTGAGGAGATAGAGCCAGTGGTGGTGTCGAATCTGGAGCGGTCGTCTCTCGAGTCACCTGCATCGCCGATGGTACAGCAGGCTTTCGGGGAGAACCAGGTGACGGTGGAAGTGGAGGACTTGGATGCGACAATAGCGTCTGTTTTGCATACCATGTTCTCATCTACGGATGTGGTCTCCCCAGCTGTGCCGACAGCCAGTGCGGAGATAGTGTCCGTGGCAGCCAAGCAGCAGGAGGCGGTTGTTGGTGCTGGTGGGGACATGGGGACGTGGTGACCCCTCGTCAGAAGGCTGAGACGAAGGTGGTGGTGGAGGTTCATCGTGTAGACGATCCAGTCACAAACATGGAGAAGGACGCTGGGACGAGGAAGAGGGCGGCAGCAATGTCGGACTCTGACGACGTCCTGACGCCGGCTCAACGAACAGGGAAGAAAGCATTGGTAGATGGGGGCGGTGCGCTAGTGGAGGTGAGCAGCGACAGCAGGTGGTGCCAGGTGGCACAGGTGTTGTGCGTGGAGAGCATGGCAAACGTGGCCCCAGGGCCCAAGTGGGCAAGCATAAGTAGTAGTGGGGCAGCGAGGGAGGCAACCTTAGCCAGGTGCGAGGGGGGTTTAGATAGGGGCGGGAATCATCGTGGAAGGTGTGGCGAGGTCTGCTGCTTGATGGCAGCGCCGGTTAATGGCGTGTGTGTCTGGGAGTGTCAGATAGCGTGTGCCTTGAGGGGCATGTGCCCAGTGTTAGGATGAAAGTGACTTGATATGTGCTGTTCAGATGTGTCTGCAAATTGTGGAGTATGAGTAGTGTTAGGTTCTGTTTAGAGGTGTTGCTGCCTGCACCTGTGCGCCTAAGGTACGCTGGTGTGGTTGAGGTGGCGTATGATGCTGCTGTGTGTATGAATCTTAGACTATTATGTTGTATAATATTATGGGGTGGGGTCTGTATGGTGGAGGTTTGAGGAGCATCCTTATGTTCTATGTCAAGTATTGGGTATGTATTTTATACCTATGCATACACACTGAATAAAAACACTGGTAGTGTTAGTTGTGAGGGACCTGCTGTTATGAGGCCTCTTGTATGTACATGGATAGACCCTTTGTAATTACTTGAGGATATTTGTGAAATGGGTTGTGTATATACATGTCCTGTATCAATGTGTTACGATGTTATATTCTTTTTCTTTACTGTATAATTTGTATGTTTGGTTGTGAATAGGTTTGGGTGGGAAATGCAAAGGGGGAGGGGGGGGGGGGCTTGAGGCTTTAAACACATTTGTGTTGGGGATAATTTTTAGGAATAGGTGTCTTTTCCTGTAGTGAATTACTTGTGTGCTACATGTCTTTTATGTTGTAGCAATGTACTGTTTGTTGTGATATATATCTAAACCACGACTGTTGTTAGTACACTGTTCAAGCAGTCTTGTGGGCGTTTAATACACTTTGTGGACAAGCATGACAACTGTTATATTAATGTATATATGTCAATATGTCTGTATGTATGTAAGATTAATGTAGGTTGCTGTGGTAAACCAGTTTGATTAGAATAGGGGGGTAAAGGGGGGGGGTGTTAGAAGCCACAAGGAGTTGTGTGTGGTTCATTAGGCGATGGAAAGTTATCACATCAGTTGCCGGATAGGTCTTGTATTATTTTATTTATTAACTGTTCTGTACCGTTTTAAATAAAATGTATAAAAAAAAATTTTTTTTAGGAAAGTAGTACACTGTATATAAAGGGAAATTTTTTTTTCCTGGATAGAGGCATGGTTGACTAATGGGCAAAGTGTTTGAATAAATTGGGAGAAATCAGAATGGGGACACATCACAAGCAGTGTTCCATAGGTGCCAGTTTTGGGCCATTTGTTCACAATATATATACATAAATAACATTGATGAGGGAACAAACTTAGTTTGCCAATGACACTAAAATAGGCCTTTGGATCAAGTCTGATTAGGACACTAGAGCCCCACAGATGATCTTGATAGGTTGATGCAGTTTAATGAATGTGCTTAAAATATCTAACCAAGACAGAACAGGCAGCAACAGGTTAAAGTTAGAAAAATTTAGAAAGGAAAGCACTGGCTTGCTTAGATTTGGATGAGTGGCACAACCTCCAGTCTTGTCATTGAAGCAAAATCCCTGGCAACCTTCAAAAAACAGGTTCAACAAGTACACAAGTGACACGAACCTGCCGAGCATAGACAGACTTGCTGCAGTGCTCCTATCTGTTCTTGTATACCTAGAAAGTTTCTAGACTCAACATTTCCTGTCACATCACTAATTTCTGTAGGTTTAGTGGCCTGTAAATCACACCCAAGATTAACCATTCATATCCCTTGAGAAAGTGTAGGTAAATAGATTGTCACTACCACTTGGGCATTAAATGCAGCCTTCTGAATGAATTATTTTTCTTGAAGTTATTATATAACAATTTTTTTTTTTTTTTTTACAAAATAACTGACATTGTGCAGTATATCCTATGAAATTTTCCTGAACATAAGAACACAAGAAAGAAGGAACACTACAGCAGGCCTACTGGCCCATGCAATGCAGGTCCAAGTTTCCTACCTGCTTAAGCCAATGCCCCCTGCCTAGTCAGGTCAAGTCACATTCACTGACCTAGTAGCACAAGCTAATCAGGTCCAACTCACACCCACTCATGTATTCATTGAACTTACTTTTAAAACTACACAACAGATTTGTAGATGAATGGTTCAGAGAACCGACATGTTGATAAATTAGACACATGTGCAACTCTTGGGTATCTTTATTGAGGAAACGTTTCGCCACACAGTGGCTTCATCAGTCCATACGTAGGAGAAACTTGAAGAACAGGAGAAGAATGAGGTAATCAGTCCCTCAACCTTGAGTCGATGTGTTCAGTCCATCAATCTTGGATAGAATAGAAACACATCGACTCAAGGTTGAGGGACTGATTACCTCATTCTTCTCCTGTTCTTCAAGTTTCTCCTACGTATGGACTGATGAAGCCACTGTGTGGCGAAACGTTTCCTCAATAAAGATACCCAAGAGTTGCACATGTGTCTAATTTATCAAAACTACACAACGTTTTAGCCCCTATAACTGTACCTGGGAGTTTGTTCTGCTCATCCACAACTCTTATATCCTTCCTGAATGAATTTTTCCAACTTAAAAACACTGCTGCGAGTCCTGTCTAGGCTAGATATTTTGAGCACACTATTTACATCCCCTTTATTTATTCTCGTCTTCCATTTATACACCTCAATCATATTCCCCCTAATTCTACACCTTTCTAGAGTGCAGATTCAGGACGGTCTATCCTCATAGGGAAGATTTCTGAAACATGGGATCAACTTTGTCATCCTCCTTTGTACGTTGTCCAGAACATTTATATCCATTCTGTAATACAGTGACCAAAACTGTGCAGCATAATCTAAATGAGGCCTAACCAAGGATATAGAGTTGAGGAACAACCTGAGGACTCCTATTATTTATGCTTCTTGATACGAAGCCAAGGATTCTGCTAGCTTAATTGCAAATACTTATTCACTGTTGTCCTGGTTTCAAATTACTGCTAACCAGAACTAATAAATATTTTTCGCAATCCATAATATTAAGATATACATTATTTAGTTTACATGCCAATGGCATGGTTACTTTCCTGTCCAACATTTAAACTTTGCATTTGTCTATATTAAACTGCATCTGCCAGTTCTCCAATCACTGCATCAGTCTATTCAAATCTTACTGGAATGCTCTAATGTCCTCGTCAGAATGAATTCGACGGCCTATTTTGGTGTCATCGGCAAACTTGCTTATGTCGCTCCTTATTCCTTCATCAATGTCATTTATATAGATTGTGAACAGGGGGCCCAACACTGACCCCTGTGGAACACTGCCTGTGACGCTTCCCCACTCTGACATTATTAGATTACAGATAAATTTATTGGTCTCTCAACATAAAAAGGTTTCCCACCCCTGTACTAGACTAAATTATTGCATAATAGGTTCAACAGGAAGGGTGGTGTTTTGATGCACATCAAATAATTAAAATCTGCAATGGACAAGATATGAAAGAGAAAGCAATAGACAAGACTTTGCTAAAATTTCTAGAGGGATGTGAAAAGCTAATACCAGGAGTGATTTACAGACCCCCACCCCCTAAACTCAATAAGGAACAGCAATAAAAGAGTTGAACAGACTGCCTATACATGTCAAAGCCTGTCATAACATGAGCCAGTTCAAGAAGAGCCAAAATGCTTTTACATAGTTAAGATACTTATCTGTTATTAATTTTTAAACATAAATAATAATCAGAAGGACCCCAATGGAAATGTCACTAACTTTTTTTTTGGGTTATCCTGGGTTCTCTACACATATGTTGCTATGTATGAAAATTAATGCAAGTGTATACCTGAATAAACTTGGCAAATTTCTACAAGACGGTAATATTAAACCACCAAGATACTCAACTGTTTTAATGGGAAATTTAAATTTATCCAAACTGGAACAACTTCGACAGGAAATCTTAGCAACTTTCTAGATACACAACACAAGAAGCACTGTAATAATGCTGGCAGAATTACCTTCAATATGTTTGGTAAAAGGACATGTGCAACTAATGTGATATTTTACTGTGGCAAAAGAGCTTTAAAAAGCAAAAGGTTACAATAAAATATCGCATTAGTGGCACGTGTGTCCTTTTACCCGAGCATTGCAGTAGGCCTACTGGACCATGTTAGGCAGGTCGAACTCTTTTATATACTCTACTTAAATAACTTATAAGCCACTAAGGTTTTAACTTCAATAACGATACTTTGCAGTTTGTTCCACTTAAGAGAGGGACACTATTATTATAATCTAAGAAAGCGCTAAACCGGCAAGGGTCATACAACGCTGCGAGACGGACACTAAGAATCAATATAGTAAAGAAAATAGAAAAAGGAACTAGAGAAAATAATTTGAAATTGCAGTTGCAAGGGAATCAAAGACCAACCCGTAAGGTTAATTTCAGGTATACTGGAGCAAGATTATGAAATTAGACCCACTTAAAACTGGCTCAGGTCAGTCATTTGGAAAGGATATAAAAACATGGCTTGTATTATTATAATTAAAAAGAAGCACTAAGCCGCAAGGGCCATTCAGCAACATGGCTTGTAGAAGAGTAAAACTAACTCCAAAATAGCGTCATTGAAGTGAAAACCGTGGGTAGCTTCTAGATATCCAGCTGTTGCAAATATATTCAATTCTTCTGCCTAGCATTGATGTTTATGTAAACATATAAACATAGCCAGAAGTTTGATGCTACCCTCTTATCAATCCACTACCATCCGCTAATATACTGATCAATACGCTACAACAACCTTCCAGGCGGATAGCTACGTACCTTAGCTAACTACTGAACAGTAGTTTAAACGTGGAGATAAAGATGCGAAGACACGAGACAGAGAACGAGGGTGACCACCTCCTCCTCCTTAGCAATCTTGACGTGGAAAGATGGAGGATCGGTTGTCAGGATCCCTTGTAGCCTCCCCTGCCTTATTTTTTTTTTAAAAGACAGACCCACAGCACATTTACACTAGTTATTTTACTAAAAGACATTTATTTATACCACTTACATCCATTCACATCAATAATTGCCTATTAAAAATGAATATTGCTTGCATTATTATATTCATCATCCCTTTTTTAAAAAATCTCTCCCACACATACATAAATAAATAAAAAACTTGACTTCATAAGGTCATTCTGGGCTAAACATATATAATATATCAATAATGTACACTTAAAACATTATGCTCATTTAAAATCATTTAATGTCATTATGGATTTCACGAATATATCTTTAGTTAATTTTATTTAGATTTTATGTCGGATAATTTTTTTGTAATAGTCTTATATATTACATTATGTAGAATTTAACCCAGGAAACCCCAACAGACAAAGATTATTATTTCCCACGCCCAGGAGATATACGTCATTATAATGTTAATAAAAATATTATAACAATTAGTATTATAAATATAATTATTAGTATTATAAACATAATTATATAATTCTTATAATTATTTCATTCCTTGGGGATTCTTGAGGGGCTCTTGATTTAGGGAATTGGATCTGTGCTCCAGTTCCCCCCCCCCCCAGGCGCTGTATAATCCTCCGGGTTTAGCGCTTCCCCCTTGATTATAATAATAATACACCTGTAGGGGTGGTAGAGCACCTTAGGAATGGCGATAATCTGGTTAGATCCAAGGGAAGAGCAACTCTAGTTCCTTGGATCAGGAGGTCTTCACCAGCCTCACAACTAACAAAGCTCATCACTAACAAATCCCTGAAGATATTTCTATATAAAATCTTCCCTCAGTGGGGGGAGGCTCTTGATCCAGGCAACTTAAGCTACATTCTTTCCTCAGATTAAGCCCATCTACCACACACTTCCTAGCGAGGGAATAAGTCATTCGCCACTGTGGCAGGGCGACTCAAAAATGAAGAAACACTTCCATCATCATTCACTCCATCACTGTAATTCTTCTTTACCGAACTTATTAAAGCCATATACCATGAACTAATAGAATAATCAGTTTTCTTGTATTCATTGTAACTCACCTAATGACCATATGTACAATTTTGCACTGTTATTGCCTTATTAATCTTAAGTTTGCCTGAAATGCTCTGCATATGAAGGGAGTTTTGGCATGTACACTCAATTGTTATACTCCTTTGTACAAACATATATCATGATAAAATAATAATTATTATGATTATTATTACTGTCTTGCCAGAGGCATGCCTATACTACAGTTCTTGCCCCCTTTCTGTTCTTCATCCTCATATCAGACATAGGCAGAAATGTAAACCATAGCATTGTGTCTTCCTTTGCAGATGATACTACTTAGAACCAGCATGAGATTGTCATCCATTGAAGACATGGTAAATATCCGAGCAGATATAAACCAAGCTTTCCAATGGGCAACGGAAAACAATATGATGTTCAATGAGGACAAATTTCAACTGCTCCGTTATGGAAAACTGGAGGAAATAATAGTTAGAACGGAGTATACTACAAACTCTAACCACACAATAGTGAAAAAGTATTGTGAAGGACTTGGTAGTGTTAGTGTCAGGGGCTCTCACCTTCAAGGATCACAACAGTGTCACTATAATGTGGAAAATGATAGGATGGATACTGAGAACTTTCAGAACAAGGAATGCCATGCCATTGATGCTCCTTTTTAAGTCACTTGTTCTTTTTAGGCTGGAATACTACTGTACATTAACATCACCATTCAAGGCAGGTGAAATCACAGATCTACAGAATATACAGAGAACCTTCACTACATGTATAAGTTCCATCAAACACCTTAATTACTGCAAACGTTTGGAGTCACTTGACCTGTACTCACTGGAGTGCAGGTGAGAGAGATACATCATAATCTACACCTGGAAAATCCTAGAGGCACCGGCCCCAAATCTGCATACAGAAATCATTCCCTATGAAAGCAAAAGACTGGGCAGCTGGTGCAACATACACCCATTGAAAAGTAGGGCACCATGAGTACACTAAGAGAAAACACAATAAGTGTCCAGGACCCAAGACTGTTCAACAACCTCCCACCAGGCATAAGGGGAATTGCCCATGGACCCCTGGCTGCCTTCAAGAGGGAGCTGGACATATACCTAAAGTCAGCACTTGACCAGCTGGGATGTGGTTTGTATGTTGGACTATGTGTGACCAACAGTAACAGCCTGATTGATCAGGCCCTGATCCACCAGGAGGCCTGGTCAAGGACTGGGCTTTGGGGGCATTGACCCCTGGAACATACTCCAGGGAGACCCTTCCTTCAGAGTGTAGGGACTGCACGTACTTCCCACCTCCAGAGCTCAAGTCCAGATAACTGGTTTCCCCTGAATCCTTTCAAAAATATCATCTTGCTCACACTCCAAAAGTATGTCAAGTCATAAACCTCCCTTAGAAATTCATTACACTTTTTTCTTGTACTGCTTTTCCCTCCGTTGCATTTATTGTAAATGTGACTTTCTTGATTCTTAATGTTTAAAATGGTTGATTTCCTCCAGTACTTCCCTCCACTTATTTGGTAAGGATAAAGCAAAATAAGTTCTACCGAATTATGGACCTGTAAAGATAATGATGATTATTACTGTGGCTGAGACATGAATAAAAACTGAATCAGGAACAAGTCAATTTATACATAATAGACCTTATTTCAATCCTATATACATTTACTCACAAAACATTTAATTTTAATTAGTATTTAAAAGGATCAAAATACAATGAAAAACAATAGTGTATAAAGTTTACAGTATATATTGTCATATATAAATTTAACATTTATATATAAATTGATTATAAACAATAAACTGCACTTGCTCAATATGATTTTCACAGTTATCCAGGAGTGTAATTAATTAATAAAAATGTATATTGCTGAATTTTCTCTCATATGGAATTCTCATGAAATATATATACAAAAATAAATCACAAACAAATCAGATGTGTTTTATTCTTTTATTTGATGATTAACTTCATCCTTTGACATTTTATTTAGCAAATGATTATCATCACTATGACATTTTCTTTTCTTTCCTTGATTACGTGATCTCTTTTCCTCCTGATCACTGCTGAATAGGCTGGTTTTTGCTCTAGCTTTAGGCCCCCAGTATTTTTCTGGTTTAATCTGAAAGCGCAACAGCTCTCGTTTCTTTGATTCAGGATTAGCATCTGAGTGAAGCTCAAAACTTATCTTAGTTTTAATTTCTTTCTCTAATATTCTCTTCCCTGGTCTATCATCAGTCATTTTTGCTCTATTGGCCGGATGTAACTTTTCCCAGGCTCGGACAACATCCCAAACTACTTGTGCCGGAGCATCTGTTTTAATGCTCACTTGGCCTGCATGGGACATGGAGACTCTGTACCCAGCGTTAAGTAATGCAGATCGGAACTGCACCATCTTGCACGGGTTGATACCTGCAACATTGGATAATTTGTCTAAAACATAGAAGAGAGGCACATCTGGTAATTCTTCCTCCATCATTGTCAGTGTCCCAAACAAACGTCTGAAAGTGGTAAAATCATCCTCAACTAGGGATTCTTTCAGGGATTTCAGAAATTCTCTATCATGAATAGGCGCAGACCATATTGGCCCTGCAACTAAATGCCTGTGACCACAATGAAAACAAGCTTCCATTATAGGTGGACCAGATGACAGCTGGTATTTCACACTTTTGCCATTGATGACAATACGGCCCAAAGGTTGCAATGTCGCTGTTTCACAACCAACGCACTGATACAACCATGATACCTAGAACAAAAAAGTTTAATATGATTTAGTACTAATTGCATTACAATATTAATGAGTATCAAACTTATGAAGTATGAAAATGTCTTAATGCACATAATAAGGCTAAAAACAAAAGGTTAAAAACAGTGCATTAGAACAATAGAATGGGTTAGAGGTTATAGATGCTAAAACCACTGGAAATTTCAAAATATATATGATAGAGAAATACCTATGAGCTTACTTCTACATCTGTAGCTACAAAGAAGTAAAAATCTGAAATGGTGCATTCTGTGTAAGAAAATTTGATTCAGCATCACAATAAAATGTAAGAAACTTACAAAACATACATTTTATCCTGTAATCCATACCTTTGAGAATGTCTCCTTACATCTGACTTTGCTGGTGAACACTTTAACCACAACTCTGACATAAAAGTCAGCGCTCATAGAAAGAAGTGGAACAATGTGACGGCCATAACGGTTGGCATGTGATTCAATACACTGCAAGACAATCCTCAGAGCCTATGGAGGGAAATAAATATTTGATGTATTATAATGGAAACCACATTTTTATTCCTACTCTAAGCCTTCTATGTTCAGGTATGAGTATACAGTGTGTTTACATATATTCACAATGTATATATTAATACAAGTATGCACATATTATATATATTATACAAGTACAATCTGAAGTATAGTGGTCATCAGAGTTGAACCACAACCAGATATCCTAGGCTCAAATCCTGGGCAGAGCAAGACATATGAACAAATTTCCTTAAATAAACTATGCATCTTTCCCTGATGGTAAATAGGTATATGGATGCAAGGCCACATCCTGAGGATGACTATATGATTCACTCATATGATAAGGGCTATCAGTCCCTGGTATGGGTATTACATATTTGCATTGTGTGTGTGCCTGTTTTTAGCAAGAGGACCAGTGTATGGTGACTCAAAGAAAGAAACACATATACAATCATTCAATCAATAGCTGTTTTGCTAGAAGTGGACATGGCTCTCACTTCCAATGATCATCCACACTGCAATGACACCCACCCATCTTTAACACTGCAGGTAATGTAACTCCTGCCTCCATAACTCATCTGGCTAAATTCCATCCATATGCAGAATGAATTTTGTCTGGGGTCAACATTACCAAGAAGATACATGGTTGTGCACCACCAATAACAAGAAAAAAAATGTTACAACAGGTATAGCAAAATAATATTATGATGTCCATGCACCTCTGGCAAGGCATGTACTGAATAAGATGGTGAATGTGTTACATTCTTTGAAATCACCATATCTTGGTGGCAAACATCCAATGTTGGGTTAAAAAAAAAGAGACAGAGAGAGAGAGAGAGAGAATTACAGTACTTACAATCTCATGGCAAGCTTTGCTCTTGATAGACAATGCACCATATTTGGTGTAGCAAGTTTCTGGGGAGTTGCCACAGAGTACAGCCATGTCTGTACATGTGACCAAAAGAATGCCTCCGTCAGTAACACACTGCACGGCCCCATCCAGGAACATATGTGGAGACCCATAAGGATCCAGGTCAATTGCATGAAATCTTTTGCTGGGATCACGATGCTGATACATTACCATACTGTGAAGCAAACATTTTCTATTATTATTTGAGACAACTAAATAAAGTACAGTGGATAAGAAACATGTAATGTCTAATGCAGAAATAGCTAAGGGTGTTACTGCTGGACTTATATTTGCCTTTATGTGCCTAGGTAATGTAGTACTATAGAATTAATTTACTGTTATTTAATAATGGCAATACACAAATAACCTGCACATAAGAGAAAGAAACTTTATGACCACGTTTCGGTACGACCTGGATGAAACATTGCAACCAAGTTTCTTTCTCCTATGTCTGGGTTATTTGTATATTGTTCCAGTCACAGTACTGTGCTTTTGTGTTCTTCATTAATGGCAAAGCACTAAACCTGTAGGATTCATACAGCTTTTGAAGAATGGGAGGGATACAGGTTTGGTCCGAGAAAGAAGAGGGTAGCTCCAATTCTTTGGGATGCCAGCACCTAGGCATCCCTCTTGACAGGATTGTCATACCAGTATATATACAATTGTGATATATATTGAGAAAAAAATTAAGGGCATTAAAAAACTATAATAGTACAAGTTTAGATAACACTTGCTTACCTGGCATCACTGTGACTTGGATAAACTAGCTCCGCTACTTTGTTATGTTCAATGTTGTGCCTCATGCACTCTAAAGCCTGGCTTGATATATCATTGGCAATAATCTCCTTCACACCTCCAACCTCTTTTGCATAACGAATGGATCGCAGGCCTGAAGCTGCTAAGCCCTCCAAAATGCGAATTCCTTCTTCGTCCTTGATTCCTGGAGGGAGAACTAAAATCTTCTCACCTTCACACACTACTTCTTTGCCAGGCATTTCTTTGTCAATAATGGAACTATTACTTGCATTTGGAGCTTCTAGTGCAATTATCTCGTTGTTAGAGCAACTGTTACTTGCATCTGGAGCATCTAGTGTAGTTATCTTTTTGTCATTAGAGGAAGCATTACTCTTATTTGGAGCTCTCTCTTTATCATTAGAGGAAGCATTACTCTCATTTGGAGCTTCTGGTACAGCCCTTTCTTGATCATTAGAGGAAACATTACTCACATTGGGTATTTCTAGTGCAGTTTCTGAAACTGATGACCTCAGAGCAAGTGTTCTCTCTTTCAACTTGGCTTGCTTTTTCTTCTCTCTCTCAAGTTTCTTGTATTCGGCAGCAAAAACTCTCAAAACAGCCACACTGTAAAATAAATGAATGACTATACAGGCAAAATATAAGACATAATGGAGCCGTACCCTGCAAACATCATACTCGTGCTCTTATTATATTGCTTGAAAAACTATTTGTGGATTTCCTAAATAAAAAATTATCTTCACAAACTGAGATACCAGCATTTCCTAATCAATATCTTCTGCATTATTTTCTCATTTAGACAATTCGTTAACCTTCCAACCCTGTGCAGTATGGTTGTCTCCCTATAGACACTCATTCAATTCTTCCACAGTGGCCCTTAAACTACCTTGCTTCTGTTTCATATCACATCACAATTCATCTACCATCTTAACCCTTAATCCATTGAAATTTTGATCTATGCTCGCTCGCGTAGTGCTCCAAATGTAGATCTACGTTTTATTTTACATTTGAAGGCATGTAAAATAAAACGTAGATCTACATTGGGAGCGCTACACGAGTGAACGTAGATCTATGTTTGGACATTTTAAGGGTTAAAACACAATTATTTTCCTAAAACGAATTTCGCTTTCAACCTTTTAAGCATTTTGCAACTGCTGTAGCTTTCTTGTTGTTTTTTATGCCTTCATATGCACTTCCAGCTCTTCGCTCTTTCTAGGATATCTCATACCCCTTACACTAATATGAAATTTACATCATTTCGTCATTTATATTCATAATTATCTCAAAATATTTTGTTTATCTCTACCTCTACCTGCATATTCAGTATCCACCATTTAAGCTCTTAACATGTAAGCTGTTAATATTCAATATCCATTCACTTCCTTATCTTGTTTATGTCTTGAGAATGCCTCACTTATTGTTTCATTTTTTTTTTCACTCATTTAACTTCTTTCTTATATTCCCACACTACCTACCTTGTTTCCATAACCTTCACATTGCAAAACATATATTTCATATGCCCCATTCATCTCCTGTATCACCATTTTTCTCCTGTATCATCCCAATATTTAACTATCTTCCCTCTTGCATGTACCCTCATAAAACAGGCCTCCCTCATTTTATGAAGTAGAGGTATCCAAGCCCATAGCAACTGTACTAAATTCAATCAGGACATCAACACATAATTCCACATAATAAGAATCTTCAATGCATTTTGCCAACTGTGCCAGTCGCAAACAGTGAGTACGTACTACATATTACCTACAAAAAATTATCAATAGAAGTGGGACATTGCATATTAGCAAACTTGAATAAAATTTGCACAGAGTAAACTTGCACAAAGTGAGGAGAAACTTGTAATGCACACTCCTGCTGCACTCTTCACAAAGCTTTTGTAAATCTATGTCTTTTTGCTACATCTCGCAATCACTCTTTCTCAAACTTGCAAATCTTTCCCCTCACATTTCTAGCTAAAGTAGGTTGATAGAAAGAATTACTCATTCAATAGTTGTCTTCTAGAAGTGCATGGCCATCACCCGTGGTGGCTCATCCATAGGAGCTGCAGAGCTGCAGTCCCCCCAGCTGCTCACTGCCAGACGTATGGCTTCATCAACCTTACGCTAAAATAGTTTGCATCTGACAAATATGTTACATCTAGGTAGTAGGTTGGTAGACAGCAGCCGCCCAGGGAGGTACTACTGTCCTGCCAAGTGAATGTAAAATGAAAGCCTGTAATTGTTTTACATGATGGTAGGATTGCTGGTGTCCTTTTTCCTGTCTCATAAACATGCAAGATTACAGGTACGTCTTGCTGCCTCTACTTACACTTAGGTCACACTACACATATGTGTACAAGCATATATATACACACCCCTCTGGGTTTTCTACTATTTTCTTTCTAGTTCTTGTTCTCGTTTATTTCCTCTTATCTCCGTGGGGAAGTGGAACAGAATTCTTCCTCCGTAAGCCATGCATGTTGTAAGAGGCAACTAAAATGCCGGGAGCAAGGGGCTAGTAACCCCTTCTCCTGTATATACTACTAAATGTGAAAGGAGAAACTTTCGTTTCTCCTTTTGGGCCACCCCGCCTCGGTGGAATACGGCCGGTGTGTTGAAAGAAAGAAATATGTTACAGGAAAAATCTGTTGTACGTTTTTTCAATGTATTTATAAGTGAATTTTTAATTTTTTTGTTGAAACGAGATAAAAAATGATTAAAAACAGAAGTTTGATGTGGTACGATCGTATAGGTATTACTGGTGTTACAAGCCGCCAGTGGCCATCACAATTTAAATAATCCTCCAAATTGTAGCATTCAAGGCAGGGACTATATTTCTCACCTCCAGAACTCAAATCTGACAAAATAATTTTCCTAAATCCCTTCATAAATGTTACTTTCCTCACACTTCAACATCATGTCAAATCCCAAAACCAACCTGTCTCTAATTATTACTGTTTTACTGCCAACAGAAGAATTCCATTCTTTACAACAAACCTCTTCCCAAATTTAGGAAGCATTTTGTCTCAACAATAAGGTCTTCCAAGATCAATGAATTTACACATTTTCCACTCTTTAAAAATATTTCCACAAGGTCAACATTCTCAGTGAGGTTGTGTTAATACTACAAAAGTCGATAAATTTTTTTTGGTGTCGAATTTTTGAAAATAAACTTATGATAATTAGTTTTAAGCTGATTCTGTATCCTGCAAAGTTAAATAAACTCAGACATGTGAAAGTACGAGTACAGTACTCCAAAAGATCTATTCTTACCTCAAGTCTCTGTTGAATTCCTGTACTGGGTTGTAGAAGACATCATGTGACGATGGAAAAAGAACTTCTGCTTTTCCTTCCTTTACCGAAGTGAAAGGCCGTTTATCAATGACAAAACCAAGTTCCTCGGTTGCTTCAGTCTCACTAACAACACTACTCTTTCCCTCTGTAGCGTTTTGTGCAGCCATTTTTCTTACTATCTTTATGCTTGCTAAGTAGTGAACTAAAGACCTGTCAAGAAGATAGCACTGATTAAAAAACAAAACCAATTTGTAATACATTATTCTATGTATTGAGCAGAAATGCCAGTGAATAATGGGGGAGCCTAAATGGATCAATACTAAAATAAAATAATTAAGAGTGCTACAAAAAAGATTAATTTTATTTACAGTACATAACCGGCAGGCCGAACTTGAGTCCTGGAGATGGGAAGTACAGTGTCTGCACTCTGAAGGAGGGGTGTTAATGTTGCAGTTTAAAAACTGTAGTGTAAATCACCCTTCTGGCAAGACAGTGATGGAGTGAATGATGGTGAAAGTTTTTCTTTTTCGGGCCACCCTGCCTTGGTGGGAATCGGCCAGTGTGATAATAATAATAATAAAAAAAAACAAGATAATATTCCAATATTTACAGGTCTGTATGAAGCACTGATTAAATTATTTTTATATTCATGTTAACTTATACTAGTGCAAAGACCAGTTTCTGCAGCACAGATACACAGTCATTTAACAAATGGTGGCTTGCCCTGCTGAGTGTAGACAATAAATTGTACAGAAGTCCTGTGTTGGTCTGGCTTCTCTCCAGCAGTTTAAGCAAAGAAGTATTGTCCCAATTAACCATTCTTACCCAAAAGGTCGGTTGTGCCTGCTGGGTTACAGAAAGCTTCTCCACCAACTTTGACAATTATCATCATGGAAAGTGCTTAACCCATAAGAACATTACATGAGATGGTAAGGGCTCTGAGGAAAGGACATCAGTGGGAATGATCTCCAGTGAAGTAAGTCACTCTGACTGACTTTATTGTGTTACCCTAAGTTAAACTTACATTTTTTAACACACTGGCCATCTTCCACCAAGGTAGGGTGACCTGAAAAAGAAACACTTTCACCATCATTCACACTATCAGTCTTGCCAGAGGTATGCAAATGAGACAGTTCCAATGTCCCTCCAAACAGCAAATATCTCTAACTCATACCATCTGTCTCCTTAAAAGTATTTTAACAGTTTAAATTCCCTTTGAAACCTAGTTAAAAACTTAAAGTAACACCTGATGTAGCAAACTGGTGTCACTTAAATCAATAAGGGTGGGGCTGCCCACCTTGATAAGGTTAGGTCTCAATGGAGAGTAATAAAATAGTTTCATGAATTTGTCTGTAGTCTTTTCACTGCTCCTTGAAAATAATGACTACTTTTAAAAGCTTGTGATGCATGGTAATCACTGATGAGGGTTTAATAATGATATATAGGAGGGCCCCGCTTATACAGCAGGTTAGGTTCCAGGCTACTGCTGTAAAGCAAAAATTGATGTACAGTGAATTAGTCTTTTTTAATTTTCAAATGCATGTAACAGCTTGATAACATGTTCACACTATCATGTATTAACTGAGCAATAGAGCTAGGCCTAAAAAAAATGCATATACAGTACACACAATACTCACCTTAAAATATTTTCATCCTAAGCTTATAGTGAGTGGTGAATATATAAACTGCAGGAATTCTGAATAAATGAAGAATGGGTACAGTTGAAAACCACTGCATTAACCCTTTGACTGTTTTCGACGTATAAATACGTCTTACGAGCCAATGTTTCTGACGTATATATACTCAATAATTCAAGCGGGAGAAAGCTGGAAGGCCCACATGTGAGAGAATGGGTCTGTGTGGTCAGTGTGCACCACATAAAAAAAATCCTGCAGCACACATTGCTCAATGAGAAAAAAAAAACTCTGATCGTTTTTTTGGAATAAAACGCCGAATTTGAGGTGTATTTTCGTATAGTATTTATCGTTGTATTCGCGTTTTCATGGTCTTAGGTGATAAAATGGAAAACATATTACAGAAATAGAGATGATTTTCATTACTTTGACAATGAAAACGACCTTGAAACTGAGCTCAAAGTAGCGGAAATGTTCGATTTTTACCAATGTTCAGGAGTAAATAAATCACACCACACGTCCAATACACGTCAACTGGGGAGTCTAATATTCTTTCACTAGTGCACTGATACTATTTATACCATTTTTACAATAATGCAGTAGTCTGCATAACAGTAAATTTTGTATTTTTTTGTATGAATAAAAAATCAAAATAGAAAGCAATAATAATACAAGAGGGGCCTAGAGATATGACTAATGAACAGAGCATATGTTATTTTAGTGTCACGAATGTCTTCCTTGTTTATTCTGGACCCTATTTTGAAATTGGCATCTTTTTTATTTTGCGTGAAATTGGCCAAATTGCCAAATTCTGACCACCATATTGGGTAGTCCAAATTAGTAAATGGGAGGTTTCTTGTACTCAGCTGATAGATAAAATGGAGTTCTAAAGAAATAGCTATTAGTTTGGTCAACTGGAACAATGGAATTGGCTGAAAGTATGGCTCAAAGTCGGCGAAATCGCCGATACGCATATGTCGCCGAGACCGCTAACTTCGTGGGAGCATAATTCCGTGAGTTTTCGACCAAATTTCGAACTTTTGGTGTCATTACCATCAGGAAAAGATTCTCTATCATTTCATAAGAAAAAATAATTTTTTTTTTTTTCAAAAATTGAGCGACATAGAATGACAGTTTCAGAGAGGGGCCTGAAACAGTCAAAGGGTTAATAAAATGCTCTAAAACAGGGTCCTCCTGTAAAATGTTTCAGTATAACCCAACGTGAATAAAAATACTAACTTCACCCTTAGTCTTGATATAACCAGCATAAGGCACTGGTCCAACAGTCCTTGAGGCACAAGTCTAGCAGTTCATGTGGCACTAACCCAGCAATCCTTGTCGCATTGGTCCAGAAGTCTTTGTGGCACTGGTCCAGTAATCCTTGTGGCACTAGCCCAGAACCCCTTGTGCCACTTGTCCAACAATTCTTGGGGCACCAGCCCTATAGTCCTTGTGTCACCAGTCCAGCAGTCCTTGTGAATGAATACAATAAATGATAACTTATTTATTTCAAAACAACAGATTATTATATTTAGTTAAATGAAGGGATTATAACTGGTCTTATATAAAACTGTTAAAAAGTCTCACAGGAAGAACATAATTTCAGGCAGGACAAAGCTAAAGAAGGATTTTCAAAAAATAATATTAGCAGTTGAAAAATTAGACACATGTGCAACATCAGAGTATCTTTATTGTAGACGTTTCACCAACCAGTGGCTTTATCAATATCAATTCTAGGACATGATTAGAAGAGAGTAGAACTATATAAAAAAGATGAGGTAATCAGTCCCTCGGCCTTGAAGTTGGTGTTGAGAGCACCGTGGTCGTAAAGATTCTTCACAACCCAGAATCTTCACGACCACAGTGCTCTCAACACCAACTTCAAGGCCGAGGGACTGATTACCTCATCTTTTGTATATAGTTCTACTCTCTTCTAATCATGTCCTAGAATTGGTATTGATAAAGCCATTGGTTGGTGAAACATCTACAATAAAGATACCCAGGAGTTGCATGTGTCTAATTTTTCAACTTGTTGGTATTACCTGGAGTTTACCTGGAGAGAGTTCCGGGGGTCAACGCCCCCGCGGCCTGGTCTGTGACCAGGCCTCCTGGTGGATCAGAGCCTGATCAACCAGGCTGTTACTGCTGGCTGCACGCAAACAAACGTACGAGCCACAGCCCGGCTGGTCAGGAACCAACTTTAGGTGCTTGTCCAGTGCCAGCTTGAAGACTGCCAGGGGTCTGTTGGTAATCCCCCTTATGTATGGTGGGAGGCAGCTGAACAGTCTCGGGCCCCTGACACTTATTGTATGGTCTCTTAACGTGCTAGTGACACCCCTGCTTTTCATTGGGGGGATGTTGCATCGTCTGCCAAGTCTTTTGCTTTCGTAGTGAGTGATTTTCGTGTGCAAGTTCGGTACTAGTCCCTCTAGGATTTTCCAGGTGTATATAATCATGTATCTCTCCTGCCTGTGTTCCAGGGAATACAGATTCAGGAACCTCAAGCTCTCCCAGTAATTGAGGTGTTTTATCTCCGCTATGCGCGCCGTGAAGGTTCTCTGTACATTTTCTAGGTCAGCAATTTCACCTGCCTTGAAAGGTGCTGTTAGTGTGCAGCAATATTCCAGCCTAGATAGAACAAGTGACCTGAAGAGTGTCATCATGGGCTTGGCATCCCTAGTTTTGAAGGTTCTCATTATCCATCCTGTCATTTTTCTAGCAGATGCGATTGACACAATGTTATGGTCCTTGAAGGCGAGATCCTCCGACATGATCACTCCCAGGTCTTTGACGTTGGTGTTTCGCTCTATTTTGTGGCCAGAATTTGTTTTGTACTCTGACGAAGATTTAATTTCCTCGTGTTTACCATATCTGAGTAATTGAAATTTCTCATCGTTGAACTTCATATTGTTTTCTGCAGCCCACTGAAAGATTTGGTTGATGTCCGCCTGGAGCCTTGCAGTGTCTGCAATGGAAGACACTGTTATGCAGATTCGGGTGTCATCTGCAAAGGAAGACATGGTGCTGTGGCTGACATCGTTGTCTATGTCAGATATGAGGATGAGGAACAAGATGGGAGCGAGTACTGTGCCTTGTGGAACAGAGCTTTTCACCGTAGCTGCCTCAGACTTTACTCTGTTGACTACTACTCTCTGTGTTCTGTTAGTGAGGAAATTATAGATCCATCGACCGACTTTTCCTGTTATTCCTTTAGCACGCATTTTGTGCGCTATTACGCCATGGTCACACTTGTCGAAGGCTTTTGCAAAGTCTGTATATATTACATCTGCATTCTTTTTGTCTTCTAGTGCATCTAGGACCTTGTTGTAGTGATCCAATAGTTGAGACAGACAGGAGCGACCTGTTCTAAACCCATGTTGCCCTGGGTTGTGTAACTGATGGGTTTCTAGATGGGTGGCGATCTTGCTTCTTAGGACCCTTTCAAAGATTTTTATGATATGGGATGTTAGTGCTATCGGTCTGTAGTTCATTGCTGTTGCTTTACTGCCCCCTTTGTGGAGTGGGGCTATGTCTGTTGTTTTTAGTAACTGTGGGACGACCCCCGTGTCCATGCTCCCTCTCCATTGGGCATTGTATACCATTCATGTACAACAATATTAGCAGTGATAATTGTGCAAAGCCTAGAGCATAATTATAATTAAAATTAATACAGTATATAGTGCTGTTGTTATAAAATACTGAATAGTAATTATAAAGTAAAGTAAATATGGCCTTTAGCTTTATAAACTAAGACATAAAACAAGCTAGAAATTATGGTGGCAGCAGTCGAGCAAGAGTCATGCACGGGTCTCCTAAGACCTAGTGAATAGATGCTGTAGAGCAGTGATTCTTAACCAGAGGTAAATTTACCCCTTGGGGTAAAAAATTACATGGCAAGGGGTAAATATTTGATGTACATGATAATTGAATAATAATTCAATTAAGTTTTTCTGACCTTGTTCTTCTGTCCCTTTATGATGGCGATAAATATTTTGTAGGGAAGTAAGGGGGTAAATGGAGAAATACAAGCCAAGGGGGTTAATGATGGAGGAAAAGTTGAGAATCCCTGCTGTAGAGATACTGTACCTAGAAAATAGTCAGCTGTTATGAGTTGCATCCTGAGGGAGAATCTAAAAAATAAAGCCACACTTGGCTTTCTTATCTTATCCTGGATTATTAATATGAATATTCTTATTCCTTCCACAATAATAGGTACACCAATGTTAACTATATAAGAAATCTCTCACCTCCCTGTAGCTTCATTCATCAGGTACCTTTTATCTCTTCCTCAACTGACTGTACAAGTCGTGATGTGGAGTGACTAGGTAAGAGATAAGATTTCGTTCGGATTTTTAACCCTGGAGGGTTAGCCACCCAGGATAACCCAAGAAAGTCAGTGTGTCATCGAGGACTGTCAGTCTTATTTCCATTGAGGTCCACAATCTGTCCCCCAGGATGTGACCCACACCGGTCGACTAACACCCAGGTACCTATTTGATGGTAGGTGAACAGGACAACAGGTGTAAGGAAATGCGTTGAAATGCTTCTACCCCGCCGGGGACCAAACCCGGACCGTCCGTGTGTGAAGCGAGAGCTTTGCCAGCCAGGCCACGGGGTCACCTGTGGTTGTGCTGGTTAGCATATATTATTATAATCAAAACTAAGCACTAAACCCTCAGGCTGAAGGGACTGAATACCTCAATCTCCTCCTCTCCTTACCCATCTCTACTATGTATTTAACTGATCAAGCCACCGTGGCAAAATGTTTCTTCAATAAAGATTCCCATATGTAGCACAAGTGTCTCAATTCTTCAACTTGTCGGTTTTCAAAACCATTCATCACATGTGTTGCTGCTGTTGATCCCCAGACCACAAATGGCATAACATATGTGTAAATTACCGTGTGTTTGTTGTTCGTAGGAACTGGGTTATCTTCTTAGTTATATTCTGCTTTATATATAGTGGGAAAATCCCACCTCCCAATATGTGTTCTGGGATGAAAGGGACTTTCATACGTTAATAAGTTTTCCGCAAACTTCGACAACAAATTACACAAGCCATTGTTGTTGTTGATTGGGGTTATTCAGGGTCACTAGAGTTTACGCTTTAATTATAATATTAGAAATCTCTTTGATAAATTAGACACGTGCAACATTTGGGTATCTTACGAGGAAAGTTTCGCCACACAGTGGCTTCATACAAAGGAGAACGGGGAAGAACAGGAGTTTGAGGTAATCAGTCCCTCAGCCTTGAATCGATGTGATCAGTTCATCAATCTTGAAAAGAATACAGCATATGTGCGAGGAAGTGTCTTATATACTGTAGGCAGGAGAGGTACAGCAGTCGTAGGTGGTATCACATTTGACCTATATGGAAGTAGGTCATGTCCCAGGGTTAGGCAAGTTGAAGAATTCCCTATATTAAGATCTCAAGATGTTGCTGCGTCAGACAGGAATGTAAATGAATGGTTCAGAGAACCGACAAGTTGATAAATTAGATACATGTGTCTAATTTACCAACTTGTCGGTTCTAGTTCCTAGGCCTTTTGTGTATCCACATGCTCTCGCGCTACCGTCCACAGGATGGATATGGGGTGCACAATAAACTAGCCACTTCGGTGGCAAAATCTAAAAATCTAAATCTTAACTATTCATCAGCATAAAAATATCTTTATTTGCAAACACAAACAGTGTCAATAATATCTTGCTGCCAACTTTGTCAAGGTTGATAATCAAAGCAACCATAGTACTAGGGGAAGAGATCACAACTTTGTAGTACCCACAGTCAGTGGCCAGGCTTCAAACACCTTTTATTTTACAACAATAAAGCAATGGAACAGTCTGCCTGTACTTAAGAACATAAGAACATAAGAACATAAGAACGAAGGAACACTGCAGAAGGCCCACTGGCCCATGCGAGGCAGGTCCAAGTCTCCTACCGGCTTAAGCCAATGCACCCAACCTAGTCAGGTCAGGTCACATTGACTTAAGGGAGGAACACGGCAACCGACCTGTTAGCACAAGCTATCAGGTCTAACTCACACCCACCCACATCTACTCATGTATTTATCCAACCTATTTTTAAAGCTACACAACGTTCTGGCCTCTATAACGGTACTTGGGAGTCTGTTCCACTCATCCACAACTCTATTACCAAACCAGTACTTTCCTATATCCTTCCTGAATCTGAATTTTTCCAACTTAAAACCATTGCTGCGAGTCCTGTCTAGGCTAGATATTTTCAGCACACTATTTACATCCCCTTTATTTATTCCTGTCTTCCATTTATACACCTCAATCATATCCCCCCTAATTCTACGTCTTTCTAGAGAGTGCAGTTTCAGGGCCCTTAGTCTATCCTCATAGGGAAGGTTTCTGATACATGGGATCATCTTTGTCATCCTCCTTTGTACATTTTCCAGAGAATTTATATCCATTCTGTAATACGGTGACCAAAACTGTGCAGCATAATCTAAATGAGGCCTAACCAAGGATGTATAGAGTTGAAGAACAACCTGAGGACTCCTATTATTTATGCTTCTTGATATGAGCCAAGGATTCTATTAGCTTTATTGCGAACACTTATGCACTGTTGTCTTGGTTTCAGATTACTGCTAACCAGAACTCCTAAATCTTTTTCGCAATCCGTAATATTAAGATCTACATTATTTAGTTTATATGTGGCATGGTTATTGTCCTGTCCAACATTTAGAACTTTGCATTTGTCTATATTAAACTGCATCTGCCACTTCTCCGACCACTGCATCAGTCTATTCAAATCTTCCTGGAGTGCTCGAATGTCCTCGTCAGAATGAATTCGACGGCCTATTTTGGTGTCATCGGCAAACTTGCCGATGTCGCTCTTTATGCCCTCATCTATGTCGTTTATGTAGATTGTGAACAGCAGGGGGCCCAACACTGACCCCTGTGGAACACCGCTCGTGACGCTTCCCCACTCTGATTTCTCCCCATTTATGCAAACTCTCTGCTGCCTATTTGTCAACCATGCCTCTATCCAGGAAAAAAATTTCTCCTCCTATTCCATGTGCTTTAATTTTCCTCAATAGTCTCTGATGTGGGACCCTGTCAAAAGCCTTACTGAAGTCCATATACACAATATCATATTCATTACCATGATCTACCTCCTCAAATACCTTAGTGAAAAAAGTTAATAAATTCGTAAGGCAGGAACGCCCCTTTGTAAAACCATGCTGAGATTCGTTGATTAATTTATGCTTTTCAAGGTGGCTACGAACTGCCTCGGCAATTATTGATTCCATAAATTTTCCCACTATGGAGGTTAGGCTTATTGGTCTATAGTTCGAAGCTAAGGACCTGTCACCTGTTTTGAAAATAGGTATCACATTTGCCATTTTCCACTTATCTGGCACCATGCCAGTTTGTAGTGATATGTTGAAAAGATTAGCCAAAGGTGTGCTAAGCTCCTCTTTACATTCCTTTAGAACCCTTGCATACAGTTCATCAGGGCCTGGGGATTTGTTAGGTTTCAATTTATCTATTTGCCTAAGGACCATGTCACTTGTGACCCTAATAGTGCACAGTTTATTATCGTCCTGTTCTACATAATTTATCATTACTGGTATATCGCTGGTATCCTCCTGTGTAAAAACTGAGAGGAAGTATGTGTTAAAAATTCTACACATTTCCTTATCACTGTCAGTGAGCTGACCCGAGGAACTTTTGAGTGGGCCTATCTTGTCCCTGATCTTACTTCTGTATACCTGAAAGAATCCTTTTGGGTTAGTCTTCGATTCTCTTGCAACTTTAACCTCATAATCTCTTTTTGCTTTTCTAATTCCCTTTTTTATTTCTCTCTTTAACTGAATATATCGATTTCTTAATTGCCCCTCTCCTCTTTTGATTTGCCTATATATGCCTCTCTTTTGACCATCAGATATTTAATCTATTGTTCATCCATTTAGGATCATTTTTGTTTGATCTGATTTCCCTATTTGGAACATAATTTGACTGAGCAGCTAGAACTATGCCCTGGAAAGCATCATATCGGCAACCATCACCACCTACCTGACCCTTAGTCAGGTCATTCCAGTTCAGCCCACCTAAGTAATTTTTCAGTCCTATGAAATCAGCCAAGCGAAAGTCAGGACGGAGACTTGATTGCCATTATTAGGGGAATTCCATGATATATTAAAACTGAGTGATTTGTGATCACTCTCCCCAAGCTCATCATTAACCTCAAGATTATTAATTAGTGTTTCCCTACTGGCAAGAACCAAGTCAAGGAGTTATTTCCCCTAGTTGGCTCTGTCACAAACTGTTTTAAAAAACAATCCTGGATGGTATCAAGAAAGTCACCCGACTCTAAATTTCCTGTCAAATTGCTCCAGTCAATCTGTCTATAGTTGAAATCTCCCATTAGCACAACATTTTCGTATGTAGATGCCTTACGAATTTCGTCCCATAGAAGTTTACTGCACTCCCTATCAAGATTTGGGGCCCTGTAAATCACACCCAAAATTAGTTTTTCTCGGCCCTCGAGAAGCTGTAACCAAACAGATTCAGTGGCTGACGCTTCTAATTTAATATCTTGTCTTACACAACAATTTAAATTGTCTCTGACATACATCGCTACTTCCACCACCTTTCCTGTTGACCCTGTCAGTGTGGAATAATTTATAGCCTTGTATGTGACATTCAGAGGGCATCTCTCTATCTTTCAGATTGAGCCAGGTCTCTGTTATAGCAATAATATCTATGTTTCCTGCACTTGCAATTAATCTTAGCTCATCTATCTTATTTCTAACACTCCTGCTATAGTATAGTAAACCTTAAGGGAGCTAGTCCTTGCTGCCCTCTGCTGCCCCCCTTTGTTAGCTGACCTGTTTCTATTGTCTTTATTTATAACTTCATGCTGAATGCCTTTTATACATTTACTGTTTTCCAACCCTAGTGTTGCAACCTGCTTGTTTCCCACAACACACCCATACCTCTATCTTCCATCAGTTTAAAATCATAGGCATTTCACCAATGGCCTTCTCAATCGAGTCTGCAAGTGCTACCACCCCAGCCCCAGAGAGATGTACCCCATCCCTTGCATACATATCATGTTTGCCATAAAAGTTGTTCCAGTTGTCAATGAATGGGATTGCAAGTTCCTTGCAGTATCTGTCTAGCCAGCAATTTACACCAATTGCCCTAGACAACCATTCATTTTCCTACTCCCCTTCTAGGCAAGATGCTACATATGATTGGGATCCCTCCCTTAGACTTAATGAAATCTATAGCTGACCTGTACTTATCTAGCAGCTCTTCTCTCCTACCCTTCCCAATATCATTTCCACCAGCACTGAGACAGATAATGGGCTTGTTCCCATTACCTGACATGATATTATCCAGCCTGTTGACAATGTCCCCAACACCAGCTCCAGGGAAGCACACTCTATCTCTCATCTTCTTATTCCTATTACAAAAAGCACGGTCAATATATCTTACCTGAGAGTCACCAACCACAAGAATGCGCTTACCTTCATTAGCAGGGCAGTAGTACCCTTACCTTCACTGGCCACTGAAGTACATTCATCCTGGAGAACAGAGAAGCGATTTCCTACCTTCAGATCTTCACTCTTAACTTTCCTTACTCTGATGCGCCTCCCATTACTGTGAACAACTCGCCACTTGCAGCAGGTGCTGGGCTGCACCTCACTGCTGGTAGCTGTTGCTACCTCCCCAACTACAGCCTCCTCACAGCGAGAGACAGACTGCACCTCACTGCTAGAAGTCTCATTCCCCACAACTCCAGCCACCTCACACTCTCTCCCAGACCCATTGAGGTGGACCTTCAGCCTCCTAATCTCCTCCTGGAGAAGCAAGACCTCCTCCTTCAACTCTCCAACCTCAGTTTTTAAAACACTGCAGAAGCAAGCCATGCTTTGTAACCGTCCACGCTAATCCCCAAAGCAGCTCAGGGTCTGTGACCTCACGTGACGACTGACCACTGACGACTGACCACTGACCACTGTCAAAGGCAGTCATAGCATGAACCAGTTCAAGAAGAGAGCCAAAAGGTACCTAGTGAATGTAGCGACCGAAAGGGAGAAGAATGATTTTTTATTTCTTTTCGCTAACATAATACACAAATAACCCGCACATAGAAGAGAAGAGCTTACGACGACGTTTCGGTCCGACTTGGACTTTGTAAATGGTCCAAGTCGGACCGAAACGTCGTCGTAAGCTCCTCTCTTCTGTGTGCGGGTTATTTGTGTATTGTTCCAGTCACTGTATTGTGCCTTTTTTTGTTATTTACCTAACACACACGTAAATATAAATAATTTTACCTTATTCCTAGTATATCTCCTTTATATTATGATAATATCTCCTTTATGGTATAATAATAAGGTATTGAAGGGATCCCAATGGAAATACGTCACTCTGTCTGATATTTATGGGTTATCCCAGGTTCTCTACACATATGCTGCTATGTATAATATTTTATGTAACTGTATTTGTGTATACCTGAATAAACTTACTACATGTACAGGGCATACAGACCATAGCTGACATCAGTGACATACTACTATGTAAAAAGCCGCTTGTTATGCAGAGCATTTCGGGCAAATTAGGTCAGTTATGTCCCAGGATGCGACCCACACCAGTCCACTAACACCCAGGTACCCATTTTACTGATGGTGAACAGTGTAAGGTGTAAGGAGACACGTCCATTGTTTCTACCCCTTCGCCGGGAATCGAACCCGGACTCTCACCGTGTGAAACGAGAGCTTTTGCCACCTGGCCACGGGGTTCTCCCTCCCGGAGTCTGGGAAAAAAGATATTGCTCAAATCTGGGCGAGAATGAGAAAGAAAACAGAGTGGCCTGGTGGCTAAAGCTCCCGCTTCACACACGGAGGGCCCGGGTTCGATTCCCGGCGGGTGGAAACATTTCGACACGTTTCCTTACACCTGTTGTCCTGTTCACCTAGCAGCAAATAGGTACCTGGGTGTTAGTCGACTGGTGTGGGTCGCATCCTGGGGGACAAGATTAAGGACCCCAATGGAAATAAGTTAGGCAGTCCTCGATGACGCACTGACTTTCTTGGGTTATCCTGGGTGGCTAACCCTCCGGGGTTAAAAATCCGAACGAAATCTTATCTTATCTTATCTTAAGAGCTAATACGGCCATATTTCCCAGCAGTTATTGAGCTGGCCTGTTGTTGTTGATTCAGGTGAATGTATTAATGTCTATATGTACTAGAAGTAAGTAAGTAAGCTTATTTAGGTACAGGTACAAGTATGTACAATTATCATGCATAGTGTAAATTACCTATGATAACCCCAAAAAAGTCAGACAAAGTGACTTATTTCCATTTGGGTATGTGTACCATACATATGTAACTTACCAATATTAAAAACTACAATGATTTTTTTCTCATGAGCCATACAAAGAAGTTACAGTTGGTATACATAAATTGATTCAAAAGTTGGCACAAATGAAAGCCACTAATTATGCAATGCATTACACATATAACCCACACTTAGGAAATGAGGTTCTTAACATACTTGTTTAGGGTCCAAGTCATCATCGTAAGTAAGTTTATTTAGGCACATTGTACACATAAGTACAATTATCATACATAGTGTAAATTGACAATGACAATGGCAATGACAAGTTTGTTTTAGCATGATATATGTTAGTACAAAGGAGTGTAACAATTTGGTGAACATGCCAAAAGCCCCTTTATAAATAGAACATTTCGGGCAAACTTAAGATTAATAAGGTAATAACAGGGCAGTAATATTACATATGGTCATTATGTGAGTTACAATGAATACAAGAAAACTGAATATTCAACTAGTTCACGGTATATGATTTTAGTAAGATCAGTAGAGAATAATTAGTTTTGATAAAGTTTATAAAAAATACAGTATTACAATTTAGTACAATTTAAAAAAATGAAATTGAAAGAATTTTAAGTTTGGAGTAATGATTAAATAGTTTATCAATCATCAATCATAATAATGAAACTAAAACAATTTAAAGTTTGAAGTAAATGATCAAATAATTGAGCAGTCTTAAATTATTTAGGAGTTTTTTTTGAGTAACTGGTAGGCATTAAGTAGAATGTTTAATTAATTTTGGATGATGAGGTGATTTCTACGTAGGGCCTTAAATTGATTTGCAGGTAGGGTCCTTTAATATGTTCTGGCAATGAATTCCATATCTTCTGGCCCTTTATGTGTATAGCATTTTTGCACAGGGAGGGATGGACACGAGGGATATGGAAGAGTGATTTGTGCCATGTGTTATGCCTGTGTGTTCTGTTGTAGTTATCAAGGAGGAGTTTGAGAGGAGGGTTAATATTTGAGTATAATGTTCTGTGTATGTAGTAGGCGCAATAATAAGTGTGGATGTTTTGTATATTAAGCAAATTAAGGCTCTTAAAAGCAATGGAGTGTGCTGTCTAGTGCGGTTGGTAATCAATCGCACCGCAGCTTTTTGTTGGGTTAGGTTAGGTTAGGTAAGGTTAGGTTAGGTTAGGTTAGGTTAGGTTTGGTTAGGCTAGGTTACGTTTAGTTTGGTTAGGTTAGGTTATGTTACGTTTAGTTAGGTTAGGTTAGGTTTGGTTAGGTTAGATTACGTTTAGTTAGGTTAGGTTGTGTTACGTTTAGTTAGGTTAGGTTAGGTTACGTTTGGTTAGGTTAGGTTAGGTTAGGTTAGGTTACGTTTGGTTAGGTTAGATTAGGTGAGGTTACGTTTGGTTGGGTTAGGTTAGGTTAGGTTAGGTTACGTTTGGTTAGGTTAGGTTACGTTTGGTTAGGTTAGGTTAGGTTGGGTTACGTTTGGTTAGGTTAGGTTAGGTTACGTTTGGTTAGGTTAGGTTAGGTTTGGTTAGGTTAGGTTACGTTTAGTTAGGTTAGGTTAGTTTAGGTTATGTTTAGTTAGGTTAGGTTAGGTTACGTTACGTTACGTTTGTTAGGTTAGGTTAGGTTAGGTTAGGTTAGGTTAGGTTACGTTTGGTTAGGTTAGGTTACGTTTGGTTGGGTTAGGTTAGGTTAGGTTTTAGGTTACGTTAGGTTACGTTTGGTTAGGTTACGTTTGGTTAGGTTAGGTTAGGTTAGGTTTGGTTAGGTTATGTTTGGTTAGGTTAGGTTAGGTTAGGTTAGGTTTGGTTAGGTTAGGTTACGTTTAGTTAGGTTAGGTTAGGTTAGGTTATGTTTAGTTAGGTTAGGTTAGGTTAGGTTAGGTTAGGTTAGGTTACGTTTGGTTAGGTTAGGTTAGGTTAGGTTTGGTTAGGTTACGTTTGGTTAGGTTAGGTTAGGCTAGGTTAGGTTACGTTTGGTTGGGTTAGGTTACGTTTGGTTAGGTTTGGTTAGGTTACGTTTGGTTAGGTTAGGTTAGGTTAGGTTTGGTTAGGTTATGTTTGGTTAGGTTAGGTTAGGTTAGGTTAGGTTTGGTTAGGTTAGGTTACGTTTAGTTAGGTTAGGTTAGGTTAGGTTATGTTTAGTTAGGTTAGGTTAGGTTAGGTATTAGGTTAGGTTACGTTTGGTTAGGTTAGGTTAGGTTAGGTTTGGTTAGGTTACGTTTGGTTAGGTTAGGCTAGGTTAGGTTATGTTTGGTTGGGTTAGGTTACGTTTGGTTAGGTTAGGTTAGTACCTGGAGTACCTGGAGAGAGTTTCGGGGGTCAACGCCCCCACGGCCCGGTCTGTGACCAGGCCTCCTGGTGGATCAGCGCCTGATCAACCAGGCTGTTGCTGCTGGCTGCACGCAAACCAAGGTACGAGCCACAGCCCGGCTGATCAGGAACTGACTTTAGGTGCTTGTCCAGTGCCAGCTTGAAGACTGCCAGGGGTCTGTTGGTAATCCCCCTTATGTGTGCTGGGAGGCAGTTGAACAGTCTCGGGCCCCTGACACTTATTGTATGGTCTCTTAACGTGCTAGTGACACCCCTGCTTTTCATTGGGGGGATGGTGCATCGTCTGCCAAGTCTTTTGCTTTCGTAGTGAGTGATTTTCGTGTGCAAGTTCGGTACTAGTCCCTCTAGGATTTTCCAGGTGTATATAATCATGTATCTCTCCCGCCTGCATTCCAGGGAATACAGGTTTAGGAACCTCAAGCGCTCCCAGTAATTGAGGTGTTTTATCTCCGTTATGCGCGCCGTGAAGGTTCTCTGTACATTTTCTAGGTCAGCAATTTCACCTGCCTTGAAAGGTGCTGTTAGTGTGCAGCAATATTCCAGCCTAGATAGAACAAGTGACCTGAAGAGTGTCATCATGGGCTTGGCCTCCCTAGTTTTGAAGGTTCTCATTATCCATCCTGTCATTTTTCTAACATGCGATTGATACAATGTTATGGTCCTTGAAGGTGAGATCCTCCGACATAATCACTCCCAGGTCTTTGACGTTGGTGTTTCGCTCTATTTTGTGGCCAGAATTTGTTTTGTACTCTGATGAAGATTTAATTTCCTCATGTTTACCATATCTGAGTAATTGAAATTTCTCATCGTTGAACTTCATATTGTTTTCTGCAGCCCACTGAAAGATTTGGTTGATGTCCGCCTGGAGCCTTGCAGTGTCTGCAATGGAAGACACTGTCATGCAGATTCGGGTGTCATCTGCAAAGGAAGACACGGTGCTGTGGCTGACATCCTTGTCTATCTGGTTTAGTTTCCTTAATCTCCCCTAATAGAAATAAGTCACTTACTTATTAACTTACTGACTGATTTACTTTACTTACTTTATTTACTTATTGACTTTGCTTACTTACTGACTTACTTTACTTGCTTTATTGACTTACTGACTTATTTGACTTATTGACTTACTTTACTGACTTAATTTACTTATTGACTTACTTTACTGACTGACTTACTGACTTACTTTACTTACTTACTGACTTACTTTACTTACTGACTTACTTTACTTACTGACTTACTTTACTTACTTACTTTACTTACTGACTTACTTTACTTACTGACTTACTTTACTTACTGACTTACTTTACTGACTGACTTACTGGAGGCAGGTCAGACAGGGGGATGGGGGACTGAGTCTTGAGTTTTGGTGGACCTTAACAACCTCAACACCAACAACACTTCCTATTTTAGAGACTCCAAGAATGATAATCAGAAATATTTTCCGAGGAAACCAGAGTGTGATGGCAGTGTTGGGTTGTAGTAGACGACCTCACACTCACTCCAGTTGTAAGTTACTTTAAATAATGAGATATTACAAGGAATATAATGGAAATAATGGTGTATCATACATGTATCTCTTACTGTAACATTGATGTACCTATTACTGTGACATGCATGTACCTATTACTGTGACATGCATGTACCTATTACTGTGACATGCATGTACCTATTACTGTGACATGCATGTACCTATTACTGTGACATGCATGTACCTATTACTGTGACATGCGTGTACCTATTACTGTGACATGCATGTACCTATTACTGTGACATGCGTGTACCTATTACTGTGACATGCGTGTACCTATTACTGTGACATGCGTGTACCTGTTACTGTAACATTCATGTGGCCTGGTGGTCTGGTGGCTAAAGCTCCCGCTTCACACACGGAGGGCCCGGGTTCGATTCCCGGCGGGTGGAAACATTTCGACACGTTTCCTTACGCCTGTTGTCCTGTTCACCTAGCAGCAAATAGGTACCTGGGTGTTAGTCGACTGGTGTGGGTCGCATCCTGGGGGACAAGATTAAGGACCCCAATGGAAATAAGTTAGACAGTCCTCGATGAGTTATCCTGGGTGGCTAACCCTCCGGGGTTAAAAATCCGAACGAAATCTTATCTTACCTGTTACTATAACATTCATGTACCTATTACTGTAACATTCATGTACCTATTACTGTAACATTCATGTACCTATTACTGTAACATTCATGTACCTGTTACTATAACATTCATGTACCTGTTACTGTAACATTCATGTACCTGTTACTGTGTTAGGTAAGACACATATGCAACAGTTAGGTATCTTTATTATGAAACGTTTCGCCTACACAGTAGGCTTCTTCAGTCAAGTACAGAAATGTTGATAGAAGCAGAAGATACTTGAAGACGATGTAATCAGTCCATCACCCTTAAAGTTTTGAGGTGGTCAGTCCCTCAGTCTGGAGAAGAGCATTGTTCCATAGTATGAAACAATATTGTTTCATACTATGGAACAATGCTCTTCTCCAGACTGAGGGACTGACCACCTCAAAACTTTAAGGGTGATGGACTGATTACATCGTCTTCAAGTATCTTCTGCTTCTATCAACATTTCTGTACTTGACTGAAGAAGCCTACTGTGTAGGCGAAACGTTTCATAATAAAGATACCTAACTGTTGCATATGTGTCTTACCTAACAACCAGTCGGTATTTTATACCATTTTAATGTTCAACCTGTTACTGTAACATTCATGTACCTGTTACTGTAACATTATTGTACCTGTTACTGTAACATTCATGTACCTGTTACTGTAACATTATTGTACCTGTTACTGTAACATTCATGTACCTGTTACTGTAACATTCATGTACCTGTTACTGTAACATTATTGTACCTGTTACTGTAACATTCATGTACCTGTTACTGTAACATTCATGTACCTGTTACTGTAACATTATTGTACCTGTTACTGTAACATTCATGTACCTGTTACTGTAACATTATTGTACCTGTTACTGTAACATTCATGTACCTGTTACTGTAACATTCATGTACCTGTTACTGTAACATTATTGTACCTGTTACTGTAACATTCATGTACCTGTTACTGTAACATTATTGTACCTGTTACTGTAACATTCATGTACCTGTTACTGTAACATTATTGTACCTGTTACTGTAACATTCATGTACCTGTTACTGTAACATTCATGTACCTGTTACTGTAACATTATTGTACCTGTTACTGTAACATTCATGTACCTGTTACTGTAACATTATTGTACCTGTTACTGTAACATTCATGTACCTGTTACTGTAACATTCATGTACCTGTTACTGTAACATTATTGTACCTGTTACTGTAACATTCATGTACCTGTTACTGTAACATTATTGTACCTGTTACTGTAACATTCATGTACCTGTTACTGTAACATTATTGACTGTTACGACATTATTACTGTTACGTAACATTCATGTACCTGTTACTGTAACATTCATGTACCTGTTACTGTAACATTCATGTACCTGTTACTGTAACATTCATGTACCTGTTACTGTGATCTGATGCTCTCTCTAATGTTGATGTTAATAACTCAGTTTATCTTATTTCTAGCATATCTCCTTTTATTGTAAGTGATTTTCACACAGTTGAGTTACTTACCTGTTTTAACTTTTAAATAATAAAATATTACAAGGAACCCAATGGGTTATCCTAGGTAATTACATATATGCTGCTACGTATGATAATTTATGTAACTGTATTTATGTGTACCTGTACCTGAATAAACTTACTTAAGTCACTTTGACTTTTTTGGATGAATTATCCTAGGTATGATAATTGTACTTATGTATACTTGTACCTATTGAGGGTCTCTTGATCTCAGAAATTTGACCTGACTTCTGTTTCCTTGGATTGAACCCGAGTACCTTCCATTTTCTTCCTTGTCCCCAAATACTGTATGACCTTCATGGGTTTGGCGCTCCCACCATGTATGTTATAGTAATAGAAATCCATGCAGATCAATGTTGGTTTATTTTAAGGCTGCCTGAAATGCTCTCTATAACCAGGGGCTTTCTATAAAGTATGACAATAATGTCCACAAAATCTGCATCAATTGTATAATATTTTTTGGGGGAAGATTGTTATTATATATATACATGTATACAGTGGTACCCCGAGTTTCGGCTGCTTCCCAACTCAAACAGTTATGTAAGTGTATTATTGTAAGTGTTTTTGTAAGTGTATTTTTGGAGGTGTGAAATGGACTAATCTAATTTACCTTATTCCTTATGGGAACAAATTCGTTCGGTAACAGCACTCGAGCAGCCTTCTGGAATGAATTATGACCGAAACTCGGGGTACCACTGTATATGTATACATCCATTCGTACACAGGAGGTCCCTGCTTTTACAACAGGTTAGGTTCTGGGTTGCCTCTGTAAAGCGAAAATCACTGTAAAGTAAATCATAGCCTTTTTTCACTTTCAAATGCATATAAAGCCTGATAACATGTTTACACTATCATATACAGTATTATGTGAGTAATATAGCTAGGCCTAATAAATGCATGACAGTTCACACTTTATTTACCTTAAAATATTTTTGGCCATAGCATATAGTGAGTGGTGAATATATTTATTGTAGAAAGTCTGAATAAATAAAGAATGGGTATAATTGAAAAACACTCTGTTTCAGCTTTATCGAGATTACAAGCAAGACAGTCACACTGGTGGTGCAGGAGAACTGCTCAAGTATCAGCATCATTAAACACAAGATGTGCGGAGGACGGTAACAACTTGTTGTATATACCATCTTGTTCAGCATCCTGGAATGTAACATTGATACTGAGAAACAGGTCTTATGGTAACAGGTAATACTGTCTTGAAATACCATTTAATAATAATAATAATAATAATAATAATAATATAATAATAATATAGGTTGGATGTGAAAAGTGGGTTATAGTAAGTGTATATGCACCTGGAGAAGAGAGAAGTGTAGAGGAGAGAGAGAGAGATTTTGGGAAATGTTGAGTGAATGCGTTGGGGAGTTTTGAACCGAGTGTGAGAGTACTTGTGGTTGGAGATTTCAATGCTAAAGTGGGTAAAATTGTTGTGGAGGGAGTAGTAGGTAAATTTGGGGTGCCAGGAGCAAATGTAAATGGGGAGCCTTTAATTGAGCTATGTGTAGAAAGAGATTTGGTAATAAGTAATACATATTTTATGAAAAAGAGGATAAATAAATATACAAGGTATGATGTAGTATGTAATGAAAGTAGTTTGTTAGATTATGTATTGGTGGATAAAAGGTTAATGGGTAGGCTCCAGGATGTACATGTTTATAGAGGGGCAACTGATATATCGGATCATTATTTAGTTGTAGCTACAGTTAGAGTAAGAGGTAGATGGGACAAGAGGAAGGTGGCAACAACAAGTAGGAGGGAAATGAAAGTGTATAAACTAAGGGAGGAGGAAGTTCGGGTGAGATATAAGCGACTATTGGAAAGAAAGGTGGGCTAGTGCAAAGATGAGTAGTGGGGGGGGGGGGTTTGAAGAGGTTGGATGAGTTTTAAAAATGCAGTATTAGAATGTGGGGCAGAAGTTTGTGGTTATAGGAGGGTGGGGGCAGGAGGAAAGAGGAGTGTTTGGGTGGAATGATGAAGTAAAGGGTGTGATAAAAGAGAAAAAGTTAGCTTTTTGAGAGGTTTTTACAAAGCAGAAGTGTTATAAGAAGAGCATAGTATATGGAGAGAAAAAGAAAGGTGAAGAGAGTGTGAGAGAGTGCAAAAGGAGAGCAGATGATAGAGTGGGAGAGGCACTGTCAAGAAATTTTAATGAAAATAAGAAAAAATTTTGGAGTGAGTTAAACAAGTTAAGAAAGCCTAGGGAACGTATGGATTTGTCAGTTAAAAACAGAGTAGGGGAGTTAGTAGATGGGGAGAGGGAAGGTATTAGGTAGATGGCAAGAATATTTTGAGAACTTTTAAATGTTGAGGAAGAAAGGGAGGCGGTAATTTCATGCACTGGCCAGGAGGGTATACCATCTTTTAGGAGTGAAGAAGAGCAGAATGTAAGTGTGGGGAGGTACGAGAGGCATTACGTAGAAAGAAAGTGGGTAAAGCAGCTGGAACTGATGGGATCATGACAGAAATGTTAAAAGCAGGGGGGGATATAGTGTTGGAGTGGTTGGTACTTTTGTTTAATAAATGTATGAAAGAGGGGAAGGTACCTAGGGATTGGCGGAGAGCATGTATAGTTCCTTTATATAAAGGGAAGGGGGACAAAAGAGATTGTAAAAATTATAGAGGAATAAGTTTATTGAGTATACCAGGAAAAGTGTACGGTAGGGTTATTATTGAAAGAATTAGAGGTAAGACAGAATGTAGGATTGCAGGAGCAAGGAGGTTTCAGAGTGGGTAGGGGATGTGTAGATCAAGTGTTTACATTGAAGCATATATGTGAACAGTATTTAGATAAAGGTAGGGAAGTTTTTATTGCATTTATGGATTTAGAAAAGGTATAGAGTGGATAGGGGAGCAATGTGGCAGATGTTGCAAGTATATGGAATAGGTGGTACGTTACTGAATGCTGTAAAGAGTTTTTATGAGGATAGTGAGGCTCAGGTTAGGGTGTGTAGAAGAGAGGGAGACTACTTCCCAGTAAAAGTAGGTCTTAGACAGGGATGTGTAATGTCACCATGGTTGTTTAATATATTTATAGATGGGTTGTAAAAGAAGTAAATGCTAGGGTGTTTGGGAGAGGGGTGGGATTAAATTATGGAGAATCAAATACAAAATGGGAATTGACACAGTTACTTTTTGCTGATGATACTGTGCTTATGGGAGATTATAAAGAAAAATTGCAAAGGTTAGTGGATGAGTTTGGGATGTGTGCAAAGGTAGAAAGTTGAAGTGAACATAGAAAAAAGTAAGGTGATGAGGGTATCAAATGATTTAGATAAAGAAAAATTGGATATCAAATTGGGAAGGAGGAGTATGGAAGAAGTAAATGTTTTCAGATACTTGGGAGTTGACGTGTCGGCGGATGGATTTATGAAGGATGAGGTTAATCATAGAATTGATGAAGGAAAAAAGGTGAGTGGTGCGTTGAGGTATATGTGGAGTCAAAAAACGTTATCTATGGAGGCAAAGAAGGGAATGTATGAAAGTATAGTAGCACCAACACTCTTATATGGGTGTGAAGCTTGGGTGGTAAATGCAACAGCGATGAGGCGGTTGGAGGCAGTGGAGATGTCCTGTTTAAGGGCAATGTGTGGTGTAAATATTATGCAGAAAATTCGGAGTGTGGAAATTAGGAGAAGGTGTGGAGTTAATAAAAGTATTAGTCAGAGGGCTGAAGGGG